AAATATTTCGGGCCGATTACTTCTATGCTGTTCCCTTTAGCGTGAGTTGAGAACGCGCTTCTTCCATATGGAGGCTGCTTGAAAATTCTCAGGTAAAATGATCGAAGTACCTGGTGAAACTACAGACGGTCAGGGTTAGCTATTCAGACGGTGAAATCCGATAGTTCATATGGTGTCCAACATTATTTACACGAGACGTCACGGCGAAATTCAAGAGTGCAGCTAAACAGAAATTGATAAAAATGAAGAACAAAGCGAGCTTCTTTAGCTGCTCAGACTCGTTGTGTCTGAAAGATCCAAACCTATAACCTCTGGCTCTGATAATTGTATTACGCACGGCTCCATTATCTAATCCATTTCTGCTAAGAGATATTACAGACCGGTCTGGTAAAAGCCGGTCTTTTCAAGCACATGTCAGAGCTAAGAAATCGTGACGCATATCTGTGAAACAAAATGATTTCCGGTCCAAGATTGCTTAAGTACAAGCGTGAGGAAGACGCGATGCCCGCTACCACTTAGCGTTTTCCTAGCAAGAAAGAACCGTTCTTTCGAAGTCTCGCCATGTAAAATGAGACTGTAATTGTTTGATGGGGTTGATTCCATTTAAAGATAACACGTTTTGGGTTTCTTGGAGGTTTAATTACTGGTTTTCTCTCTATATAAAGAAATTCTACGCGTATTTGCTTTTCGTGACACGTACGTAATATGAGATCAACATAGCGTGAATAATAACAATCTTAAATCACGCTCCTTACGTCATGTCACGCCATTTTATGTAAAAGTTATTGTACCGCGACACCTCATTTCAACGTTGAGTTATACAATACCAAAACAATCTTCAGCCGTCGTGAAAGGCGTAGACAGGGAGGGGTGAAGGAGGGTAAAAATGACCCGCGTTTACTCAATCGTGCTGTGACCAGCAGACTGTTGCAAGTGGTATCGCCAAAAAAAAAACTTATTGCCGCTTTTCATGGATAATAGACTCCTGATCCTGTCTTTTCCTGATCTGAAGCTTTGGCTATTTAAGACCAATCGCCAGTCATTATTATTTTTTGTTTTTTAAATACAGGCAACTTGTTGTATCAATTTTGATTTACCATAACACTTGGAGTAGCAAGTCATAAACTCCTCTATACCCTAAAATGAATTACACTGGGATCTCGGCAAGCTCTCTTGAGCTTTACTGGGGAGATTCCCTAAATGTACTTAACTATTACAGATAGCAGATGGGTTTTTAACACATTTAGTAAATAATGGGTAACTGAGAACTAACTACTAACAGTAATAAACTTGATCTCTCCGGCTGAACATAATCTTTAATTAGTTTTTTAAAAGAATTATACGATTTTATATTCTTAAGTGGTGGGCGTAACATTAGGTATAGGTAGTCTAACTCGCGATCAAGCGTTTCTTCTTTTTTTTTCGGGGAAGGCGCGAAAGTCGGCGAATGGGGAAAGGGAATTCGAAGAAGGACCCGTCTGATCGCAGGTTATAGGTGGTCAGAAAATCGTCGGAAACCACTTGATTTTAGAAAGAGTAATGGGGTTTAATCAAAGACCAATCATTAGTTTCCGACTCTACAAGGAGGTGGTAGGGTTGTCGGAAAATCTTGGGGGAGCCACTCGAAATAAGGAAAACCGAAATAAGGGTATGCTAAAAGACCAATCACTATTTCCGTTCCTTTGGGGTGGGGGTCAGAGGGTAGGAGGATTTGGGGGGTATCCACTTGACTTTAAGAAGAGTTAAATAGGTTTTTTTTTTCTCACGTAGAACAGAGTCATGAAGGGGGAATATGAAATTAATCTAGCCATTTTACCTAATATTTCTTCATTTATATATCCGTTCTTCCTCTTAATAAATAACAACAACAACAACAACAATAATAATAACAATAATAATAATAATAATGATAATAATCAGACCTGCCGTCTAAAAAGCTTACAACAGATCCAGCACCACTCGACTGTCTGTCGGCTCCGAAGCCGTCATAGTATTCTCTTTCAGTGTAGCTAAGGCCCTGAGGAAGGCCCTGCCTTTAATAAATCAGCCCTTTGCCGTATTGCTAACCATGCATTCAGTTTTGTTTTAATTCCCGCTTCAAGTGACGTCTGGCATTAGCATCTCTGCATTAGAGATCCGGCCAAAAAAAAAAAAACAGTCGGTTTTATTAAAAAGTTGAGTGGACCTCTGCATTCAAAGGTGTTTACTATGTAATGCATGTTGCCCTAGTTACTAGCGATCATTACACGTTTGTAGGAAACTGCCCACCTACCCCTCCCATAAGCCAACGTTAACAATTACTTCTCACTTAGGGCAAAATGTTGGCTTAGGGGGAGGAGTAGGTGGGCAGTTTCCCAGAAATGTATAATGATCAGTTTCTAGTTTCTCAGCCATACACAGCACTCCACGGCCCAAGCCATAGATAGAGATCGAGACTCTTCTGTTAAGCGAAACAGAAACAATAGCAAAAAAAGAGAAAAAACGATCAGATAGCCATTATAATGGCGACGTCCGTTCACAGGCGAGGTTTTTGTTGCGAAATCATTCACTCGATTGTGAACAGTTTCCACGATCATGCGCAGAATGTACAAATGTGTATTCGGCAGTTAATTTGTAAACGTAGCGAAAAATTGAGAATGTGATGGTTACTGAGTTCAGTTTTTCTCCACCATGCTCATCGATCCCTTAATTCTTTTCTTTGCGTCTGGCGTTGGCTCGCCAAAACGCAGATTCGTTTGTTCTGCGCATGATCGTACAACACGGTCGCTCAGCAAGTATTGCTGAGGTACCCGACTTCGTCATAGACTGCAAAACAGTCGGTTTTTTTCCTCAAAATCAGTAAAGAAATTGGTAAAGCGTGGCGTAAGAGTATTAATAGCGTCTCTCCTCAGTCTCACTCTCCGTTTTCAGCCTCGTTCCAGACCTTTTGTTTGACTGCTCGCGCGCACTTGAAAACGCAAAAATACGGACTGTTTTGGAGTCTAACTTCGTCCCCAGGTTCTTCTCCCTTTCCCAAATCGCCATTTTGAAAACCAAGAAGCCATGGGAACGATGATGTTAAGTTAACTCATGCTTGCCACAGCCGGAAGTTTCTGAACTTCCCTGACTATTCCCTGACTTTTACCTGACAAATGTAAAATTCTTCTGACCAACTGAATTAACAATTTCACAAATTAGTCCCGATAATGAGCTCAGTCATCCCCACCACCCCTTTAATTCATGCTTTCAGCAAGTCACGTGGAGTGTACATGAATTGATAGCTCCTTAATATAACGTGCAAAGAGGATTGATTTTTTTGAAAACCCAACATCAGCTTGTCGTTCAATTTCATGAACAATGTTCTAGCAATACAACTCGCGTTTCGGTAAATATTCACCACGCAGCTACTTCCTTTTCGGTGAATAATTGTTAATTAAACCCTTTAAGCCCTACTATTCACTTACAAATTTCACGGGCTGATCTCCATACTTCTTTTTTATAGAATCACTGGACAGAATAGACGTTTTCATCTCTGCATGCTTTAATTTCTCGTTTCGGACCACGTAACAATACCTCAGAGAACTGTCCTCTTCCTGTCCACGTGCATATGTATGCATAATTTATGAACAAAAGAAGCGGAAAATTCCTTTGATGGAACGCGTGGTCGACGCGTGGTCTAAAATGGGGAAACAAAATATAGGAACTAAACAGGTCTATTTGATAAAAGATCAAAGCATTTTCCCGTAAGTGATAACTTTATTAATTCTCCTCCCGTTTCCTCTTGGTGATGTGTGGATGTTGTTGGGAGAAAATTGATGTGGGTCACTCCTGGGACAAAGAGGGTTAAGTGCGACCAGAAACTCGACCCAAAATGATCAGTATTGACTGAGCGCATAAAGCCACGTCTAGATGTTTCCTTTTTTGATTGAAAACCGATAAGTTTTTTCATCCGGTTTAGTCTACCGTCCACAAAAATACGGTGAAAATGATCACCGAAAACGCATCTGTTCAAAAACGATTTTGAGAGTGGGGGCTTTTAGAAACACCGGCTTCTCGTTTACGTGTGGTCGGACAAAAAGAGTGGTCTTCATATACTACTAGCAGAACGCATACTCCGTAAGGAATGCTATCGTATTTTCACAGTTTTAGCGTTTTCATGTGCAGGAGCGAAAACATTCGAAACGCTACGTGTGGGTGGAGGCGTATTTTTTTTGAAAATGAAGACAACTCCGTTTTCAAGAGTATTCGGACATGTGAGGACGGGGCCTAAGTTACGTCTACTAGTATTGATTTAGCTTTCCAGTTTTCTCCAGGAAGACAGTAAATTCGTTTTTAGTATAAACAGATGGTTCAATTAATCATTGATATTGTTACAAGGACAACAACAAAAACTAGACAATAGAGAATTCACATGGCCTCTTTTAAACGAGAAGGCAGTTTATTCCATTTACAAATAAACGAGCTTTGTTGAAAATTCTTAAATACAACTCTCCAAAACTTTGCAGTATGTACATAAAAACCTGCACACTTTATAAAACAGTGTACTCCAGGCCAACGCAGCCAGGACTGAAGCACATTTGTCATTTACGGGAACACGTACAGTGTAAGCACCTTTGAAAGCTAAACTATGAAAATAGCGTGCGTAGCAGGTGGGTTTAGCCTGCGAGTACTGTCTTTATTATTATAATTGGCGTGGGGGAGGGGGTAGGGGAGGGGGTGGCGGAAGCGGAGCTGCAAGAAGATTGGGAGCAACTCACAGCTTCTCCGCTCTTGAAAATTCCTCCAGGCCCCGCCGCCAAGGAAGTACCCCGTGCATAACATTCCCGCGAGCTACGAAGGCTATTTGAAAAAAGAAAAAAAAAAACAACAATTAATTGGGAGAGTGGACACTGCGTACACAAAAGACGGTTGGGTGGGGGAGGGGTAAACAGATAAACCAATTATCGTTGCCCATTTCGCTCCGGAATTTTCAGATACCATCGAAAATTGAACAGCCCGCTTCGGAGACTTTTCAGTATTTTCTCTTGTTTCCTGCGCCACGCTTCGTCGATATTTCGACATTCACCATTTTCACATAGATCATAAACCATCTTGTTCACCCCCCACAATTTTGCGTAACCATTATTGTCCTTACAGTTCCCCCAAGAGAAATCGAGGACAGTGGTTATGCAAGATTTCGGGGCATAAAAAAGGTGCATTATGGTCAATGTGGAAATGGTGAATTTCGACATGGAGATAGTCTCCTATCTCGTCACGCAGCGCTCTTCCCCAAAGGCAGCGTTACGTGACGAGACAAAGAACAGGTGCGTGGGGGCAAAACATAGAGAAGACGCTTGGCACACCATGGCCACGTGTCGAAGAGTTCCTCACAGGTATTGGCAAGTGTTCCGGGCAGCTCTGCTACGTCTTAAAAACAGCCTGGTTTGCGTTGACAAGTTCCATCGCTCGTACAAAACGATCACAAAGTTCACGAGAGCTGAGCGGGCGCATGATGGGCGGCGGTTTTATTTCAGGACACGATTCGCTTGGAACGTCAAGCAGTTGGGGGAGAAACTCCTCAAGCTTGGCGCGGTGACGATCTAGAAGAAATGAAAATGGAAACGTCAAAATTCATCCTAATAAAAACAAATTCAGAACCCTATTCCATGTTCATAGAAGTAGATGATGGAGCAAAACACGCCACCATAAAACAGGTCCGTTGAGAAAGTGGTTCAAACAGTTTTAACATTTGGAGAACAACAGCAGTAAGAGCCGGGATACTGGGACAACGTCTAAGCATTTGAACATCTTACAACGATGAAAGTGGGTGTTAAGTAGTTGCAAGATTAGGCTAGAATTTCGCCGCTCTCTCGGGTCCGCCTTGGTCCAGTCCACCTCAAGGAAGGAGCGCGGGCTAGTTTCCCCAACAGCGGCTAGTAATCGAGCCTATTGCAAATCGGCTCCACGCAAACCTCGAGACAATAGGGCCATTTATACGAGGAAAAATAAGACGCGAACTGTACATTTATACGGGCATGTCTTATCTAAGACCAGAAGAGCTCGAATAAATGGTTCGCGTCTTATTTCTGTTCTTGACTCGTTTTCATGTGAATGCTGCCTGTAGCAACGGCAATCCAGCGTGGCGCGCTAAAAATTAACGCACGCCTACTATGCGTTCGCGTCTTATGTAAGGCTCTTCTAAAATAAGACAAGTCTTAGCTAAGCCGTTTCTTTTTTTAGACGAAATGTGCCGTTTAGACGGAAAGTTCGCGTCTTATTTAAGACGCGTCCTATGTAAGGCGCGTCTTATTTTCCCTCGCATAAATGGCCCTAATGTTACTATGATGTTGTGATCGATTGATCGCTTTATAGAGGGTGCAAATATTCAGCTGTCCTCACAAGTCATTAACAACGCGTCTAGAAACCCTGAACCAGACAACTACCGGAAACCTGATTACATCACAAGACATTTCCACGGTTTTTAGTGTCACTTCAAAGAAGTAAAAGATACCATCCTCTACATCGATAAAATCGCAAAATAATTGTTTAGTTTTGTCAGTCAGACCATGCAACAGAACTGAAACTATTTCATGCAACCCGTTACTTTGGAGAGCCAGGATATAAAGTGTAAAAACCAACGTCAAATACCATGTTTTAACAGAAAGAAAGAAAGCGCCAAATGTTTATTTTAATATATTTCCGGGATAAAAAAATGACGTACTCGAACCCTGTGTTAAAAGCCAGTCATCAAGTCTATAGCTTACACTTGCTTGTTCTTTTTTTTAATCTGATTTGATTAAATATGCATCGTTGTTAGGAATCAGTTTTTCGCCTATATCCTGTGTATGAGTTAAGGCATAGAGTTTCTGTATAACATGGTCTTTACCTTAAAAAAAAAAAAAATCACGTCAAAGTATTACTTTTGGGAAAACCGGATTACAATGCGTCAATCTTTGGCTGAAAACGTATGTTGAACAACAATCGGAAACTGCATTTCAGCAAGTTAACCTTGGACCAAACTGTTGTGTAAGGCGATTAACGGAAACTGGCTTACAACACACAAGTTATTATCATCCCCTGCCTTACACGTTCTGTCAGACAATATTCGGAAATTGCACTACAACTAACCGGAAACTCAGTAATTACGCTACGTCGAGTTATATCGTTGTAGGACTTAAAGTGACTACGTCACGAGGCCGATGTTGCTGTTTTGGGTCAATTCTGTGCTGAAATCATTGGTTAGTGCCTTTACACCAGTGAGGAATCCAGGGGAGGGGCTTGGGGGGATCGGCCTCTCCCCCGCTTATTTTTAGACCAGACTGAGGCCCAAAAGGCCGAAAAAAATTTTTTGGGGACCGCCCGCCGCATCCCCCCCTCCCCCCCAACCCCTTTACCTCAGGGTCTGGATGACCGCAGCCCCTTATCTGAAGGTCTGGATGGGTACTGTACCACTGGGGGTGATTTCATGCAGTCATGGCATTAAACTTGAAAAAGTTGGCCCGACTGTTTCAAGTTTCAAATCCATGTCTATCTTTGCCATCCGTGGCAACAGAAGACAGGAAACAGTTTCAATGCCTTTTATTTTTAGAATTTAATTGATACGAAGACACATTTTGAGTTATCTAAAAGATAGCAAATAGCGTGGCGTCGCACCTATAACTACAGCGCAGACATAATCGGAAACTGCACTTAAACTCAGCGCAAACTGGATTACATGGAGACTACGACTAAAACTGCGTCTGAAAATCGCGACCTTTAGATCTGACCAACAGCATGCAGGAGAGCGATATTTTCGGGCGAGCGTGTGGTCGACTTACTGATCTTGACCGAAAGGAAAGGACGATTGGGGAGAGCCAGAACCGATTACCAAGCGATGTAATGTAGTGTATTAATGAAATCTCTTTGGCAGCGCTTTTCGGTGGCAATGATTGTGTGTCACTTTATTCAAAATCGATTTCAGAATTTTCATCGTATTTCGTCTTGGGTCGCCTCTTTACGTGAACCGTGCAAAAGAAAACTGCAATACACTTTATGTCTTTCACTTTTATCGAAATAAATATGGAATTTTAATTTAATGTTGTCTTTGACCAATACTAGTAGTCACGCAGTACAACTCTGCTAAATCGATCTTTCAAGGTAAACAAAACTGAAAAACAGTTCAACTTAGCGGGAGTTCAAGTGGGTTAAAACTTACTTAAAAAGTGACCCAAAGAGAGAGTAAAATTAGCGCTAGTTAGTGGGAGTTAACCGCGACGTTCTATTGCCGGTAATGCAAACTAAAAAAGAGAAATACAACACACCGTGCGAATTTTCTAATCATTTCTAACTTTAACAGCAATGCCCGAGGCTATGTTTACGCCATACCGGATAGCTTATCACGTCGAAATGAAAAATTCTCCGACCTGGTAAGAACACCTGTTGACATTACCACGACGACTGGCACCAGAAAGCAAACCTCTCCGATATTAGACGATCCACTCTCATGACTGGTGCGAAGCAGCATCGCTCAGTTACAGAAACTGCTCTGAAATCATCGCTCTGACGGTTCATGTGTACGAAAGCCCTATACGATACGGCTTTCGTGCAAGCCTCAAGGCTATCTGGTATAGCCTAGACATAGACACAGCCTAAGAATCGGTGAAAATTGGATTACAGTAAACGGAAACAGGATAACAACGCACCGAGTATAAATATTTTGATTACAAACAACGATATCAGAGCAAAAACAAAGCACTTGCAAACTTTAAGGTTATTTAGAAATAGAAGTACTTTTTGAGGATGATCCATACATGGTGGAATTCAAGGGCATTGTGAGATAGAGAAGTAGCGAAAGTTGAAACCTTTTCTCCTTTCGCTGCGAATGGGTCAAATAATCAGAGGAAACTATCGCAAATTGAATTAAATCATCCCAAATGTTGCTGTCACTTTTACCCATTTCTGGTACAACTTTAGACAACCCAAAATTACGAGTTTTTAATCCTTTAGGCGCTTTAACCAACACATAAATTCTCCACACTCTCCTTCACGCATTTTCTTTATGATGCTCCTGTGATCGTTTCTATAATATTCTCATAACCGTTCTGTTTGAATGAGTAATGATATCGTTAGGAGAAGTCAGATGCAAGTAACTATTACGGAGTTCTAGTTTTTGGACGCCACAAGACTTCCTCAACAACAATTAAGAACATTCTTTCATGACAGTTTCGAAGTACGTCTGAACGGACAACATCGTTCACGCTACGTTTGTCAGAAAATACGCTATACAGTGCGCGCAAACAAAGTACTTAATAAATTATAGGGGCCCTTAGAAACCACACGCAAATATCAAGTACTTTTCAAGGATCATGGTGAAATTCAAGGACTTATAAGGACTGCTGAGATCTCTTAATTAAACTGAGCTTTTAGACCAAGAACAGTCTCTCTATTTTCTATTTTCCCTGTTTTTTGCGCTCAAAAGCGTTGGGTTGTCGCTTTAAGTTATGTAGACACTAGGGAGACTAGGCAAAGACTACGGCGACGTCACCGAGAACAGCAAAAAAGCAATAGGTATAGATTAGCAAAACAACAACTTCGCACGTGCATCACGCTTTTGTGTACATTTCGTTGCCGTCACTGCACGACTACGACGTGAAAATGCCTAAATTCACGTTTTATGGAGGACGTTACCACAAGACAACGACTTTCCTTTCCTTTTCGTGAACTTCGATACAGTCCCCTAAAATAAAACTCCAGAAAAATTTGCCAACATTTGATGAATTAATCGCCGTCGTTATTGCTTAAGCTCCCTACTAACTTGGATTTCGACGCCGGGTAACTACAGTGGGTGTGTAAGGGGGAGGGAGAAGGGAATAAAGAGGGGTGAAGTAATTGCGCCCAACCCCCCTCCCCGACCTTACCGTTTCCCTCTCCCTTATTTGGCCTATGCGGGTATGTGCCGCTGAACAGGGTATGGTTTTCAAGGTGTCGTTTTGGACTGGAAGCCTTTCAAAGAGAGTGAACACTTGCGATGAGCGGTCTACATTTGCAATACCGATAATTTTTTTTCCTAACTATCTATTTCCACGATTTTAGTGTGAAAAATAAATACGTAATTCTGTATGCAAAACAAAGGAAATCAGGGTCGGAAAGTAGTGTCTTATGTCTTAAACAGAGTAGCGAAATGAGGAATCTTTGTCTTAAACGGGGTAGGGGTTGGCAGGCCTCGGCGGCACTCCTCCACCCCGACTTTCCTTAGTGCCCAACTAGCCTGCGAGCAAGCTCTCCATTTGGGGGATATCGCCGCTCGCTCGCGCGTTCTCGTGCGGCTCGCTTCGCTCGCCCAAATAGGAGAGCTTGCTCGCAGGCTAGTGCCCAACCGGGGGTCCAACATCCTGGTGAGTACACCTCTGTAATGCCGGCGGACACTGGCTTTTCTCCCTTGGTGTCCGTTTTACTAAGGTCTGACTAAAATCCTTCTCAGTTGACCGACATAAGCGCCAGTCTGAAGAGCAGAGCGGAAGGACGCTGATTCAAACATCGGCCGCACCAACGCTCAGGGTCTTTAAACATCTAAGGACACACACTAGATGAAGGAACGATTTCCGTCTTCCTCTCGTGAAAAGAAATAGCGGAAAGCAGAGAATTGCTTAACAATTTTTTAAACAGTGCATTAAAAGCTCAACCTCGTCCCCAGGGATTTTCCCTAAAAAAATGGGAGTCTATCTGACTTTGTAACATTTTTAACCTGTGGCTTATATTAGGTAAGTTTTTAGTTCTTTACTTTTTACTTATTATTACTATTACGTATTCATTTATCTAAGATCACGTATTTTCCTTTTTTTTTACATGGCCTCACTGAATATAACTCTTTGTAAAGTGAGCTCCCTGTATAAACATTGTTGTTGTTAGTAGTAGTAGTAGTGGTAGTGGTAGTGGTAGTGGTAGTGGTAGTGGTAGTGGTAGTGGTAGTGGTAGTGGTAGTGGTAGTGGTAGTGGTAGTGGTAGTGGTAGTGGTAGTGGTAGTGGTAGTGGTAGTGGTAGTAGTAGTAGTAGTAGTAGTAGTAAAGAGCTGCCTTCTAATGACATCCGCAAACGGTTAGACTTTCTAGTCTTCTCGGGTAAGGACGATAAACCGTAGGCCCCTCACAACCTCACAACCCCTCACAACCTCACAACCCTTGCGCGTATAATAAATCCTGCTTGTAAAGAGTAGGGGACGTAGTCCCCGGTGTGGTGTTCTCTCGCAAGTTCACATTCACATAGGTGGTCATCAACACTCATTCCTCATTACTTGTAACTGCACCATAAGCAGTCTGGCAAAAGTCCCCCAACCGGAGTTGTAAATTATCCCTGAAAAGCCCTGAGGGGAGTGAAATATTAAGATGTTTACAATTTCAGGTTTCTTACCGTCAAGAGGAGAAGCGAGGAAGTTACACCAGCAATTTCTGACCTGCTCCACTGCCAGACCGTCAGCAGTCTGGGCCGAGACAATGAGCTTTGGTATACAAGGTATCACAAGTTCACTGACTAGTTCCAGTCCCCTGCACACTGATTTCCAGTCACTACTGTTGAACATTTGTACCGCTACATCATTCAGACGCAAAAAACATATGCGCCGCCAGTGGGTCAGCAGTTGCTCGTCCATGGCTTGGCCGACGTTGCTAGAAGCGTCCAGAAGCTTGGTATTGAGTTTGCATGCGTGCATCAAATATGGCAATGCTTCGCGATATCTGAAACATTAGATTTTTACCAGAATCGTGATGAGTCCTTCTTCTAGATGAACTTTTAACGCAATCAAAATAACCTTTAAAAAAACCTGCGACATTGTGTTGATAGTGAAACCAAAAACCTAAAATTGGACATCGACTAAGAAAAAACCTTAACCGGCCACTAGTCTGTTCCAGGAGACCGTTGTACCAATGACGGAGAACGCTATCCAGCTTCGGAAAAACTGGCGCTAGGTGTACAGAGAGCGGTGTCGCCTCGCGCGTCAGACGTTTAGGATCTTTCGCTTACAGTTCCACAACTTTCACTAAAATATTTGTTGAGCATGCGCTACACGTTGCTTGGATACAGTTTAGAACCCAGGCCTAACAGCCATGCACTTGGTACAGTAACCATCGGATTATCAATAAACAGATGTTCCCACTCGAAAAACCAGTTTGACGAGAGAGAAGAAGATTGACTAATCCTGAAGTAGGGGTTGCGGTGACTTCAAAGGCTTGAAGTGATTCAGGCAGAACCTCCTTTTCTCCTCCTCGATCAAGGAGACAAGAGAAGGCTCTGTTCTCAGGTTGTTACTAGAGACCTTTAGATTTGAGGACGAGGACGAGGACGACCACGAGTAGGAGATTTGACTTAAAGTCTTTTCGCGTCTTCTCAAAATATAGACTTCCCGGAAAGCTTCATTTTACCATTTTTCATTAGAAAAGTTAGCATCGTTATCGTTAGTGAAGGACGTTATGCGCTCTCCCGATAGCAAAATGATAAAACTTCTAACATTTGACATCTTGTTTTCGCCACAACGACACCCGCGCGAAAACTCGTAGAAGAGTGACGACGGCTACCACGTTTTCCCGCCAAAATAACGCTGGTTCACTGGTTCAAGCGCAAGCAATACTAAGTATTGAGAAAATCTCGTACTCGTAGTCGTACTCGTCTTAGAATCTAAAGGTCTCTACTAGGGAACTTAAGCAACAACGACGGCGACGGCTGCGGAAACGTCACTTAAAAAGTGAATTTGCGCTGCCTCAACTTAATCGCGCTTGTTCCATCTCGCTTAATTCGTCAAATGTTGGCAATTTTTTCGGAGTTAAATTCTCAAGGACTGCATCAACATTCAGGAAAAGAAAAGGAAAGTTGATGTCTTGTGTTCCCGTCCTCGACAAATCGTGAAATTAGTCATTTTCACGTCGAAGTCGTGCAGTGACGTCAAAGAAATAACAAAAAAGCGTGATGCACGTGCAAAATTGATTTGCTAATCTAAACCTATTGTTTTTTTTTTGTCGTTTTCTTTCACGTCCCCGTCGTCGTTGTTTAAGGTCCCTATTTTTGCCAACTGTAAAACTATTCACTTACTTGTTGTTCTGTAAATTTTCAAGTCCCGTGAGGAAACAGGAGTTGACTTTTATAAACAGGCTGTATTTTTCTTTCCAGCTCTAAAGGAGTAGAATTCAAGGAGTTCAGACGCAATAACATGCAACAAACTGTTCGCAAAGACACAATGAAAATGCAAGCCTTGCAACCTAGTTAATCGGTAGCCGGCAAGGCGGGTTTACAACTGTACGTGTTTCCATCGAAAAAAAAAAACAGCCTACATACGCCTTGGGAAGAACAAGCTGATAATCCTACCATAATACCGTAAATCCTGTATAAAGCTCCCCGAGGCTAATTTATTTCAAACACTTTGAGGGGGGGCTTAATAGAGAGGGAGGGCTTAATTAATTTAGCAAAAACAACAGTGTTAGTTCTCCATAAAGAACTAGAATATAAAGTGGACAAGCTCAAGTACAAGAAATTGGAAATCATGCAGCCGAGGATCAGAATCAAATCCGATCTTCCAGTTGGTGAATAAACCATCCCGGATCAGTCCACTAGAAGTTTTACAGTCGTGATTATTTAATACAGTCACACATTTATTAGTGAAAAATGATAAGAGCGAGGGGGGGGGGGGGCTTAAAAGAGAGGGGGGGCTTATTAACTTCCTTCCCCTGAAAAGAGGGGGAGGGGTGAAAAGAGAGGGGGGCTTAATAGAGGATTTACGGGGTACAAGGGAGCGGGAGAGAGGGGTAGAGATGATGTGCCATTTCCCAGCCCCCACCCATCCTATCCTTCCAAGCCGTGACCAGGTTCTTGCTGCCTTAACTATAATTTGTACAGATCTTCATTTTTGCCTTGGTCAGATGGCCTGTCAAATGCTCTAAAACCTTTGGAAAGATTCTAATGAATTATTACCCCACGAAAAAGCAACACACGACTCGTTGCCTTTGAAATTATAAGTAATAAATTCCAAGTGACGCAACGACTGGCTATTGACACTCTCAAAGTTTATAGAAAAACCTTAGAATTCTCGATTTACTTGTATTCAAATGGTTTAATGAACCTACGCACAGTTGGGCAATGTGCCAGAAACAGCAAAACGTACGCGACTTGAAAGTAACGACTGGTTTGGTCCATTTAGTTCCTAGCTAGGATCTTAAAACAAATAAACAAATAAGGACAAGCCGTAGACACGTTTCAAAAAGCTTTAACACTTCCAAACTCTGGTCAGTAACTGAATTATTACCTGGTATTCAAGATTAGATGATACTTGCTCACCAATCAATCGATTCTGCCCACTCTGCTTAACCATCAGGAGACTGAAATAAAAACGCGGGGGATGGGAGTGGGGAGATATTAGTCAGTGGAGATAAAGTAATCGGCAGGGCTGTCACTAAGAGCCGGGGGCCGGGGATTTCCTCCGGCTACTTTTATTGAAAAACAGAAGAAAAATAGGACCAACAAAAATCCCTAGCTGTTTAATTCCTCTTCTACTTGTTGTATTTACCCAGCAACATGAAATCTTAGTGATAACCCTGTAATCGTCAGTTGAGAGTATCGTTTCACTTTTCTGGGCAGCTTCGTGTAGTTCTGGGGTCCTTTGCGCCCCCCCCACAACAACAACAAAAACCTTTTCGGTTCCGAAATCAAATATTCAAATCAAAATCTAAACCAGCCCTTTTTGTCTTGCTAACTGACTATATTATCTTCAAAACGTTTGAAACCTCGATCTTGAAGAATGAAAACAACAACAGCTTTATGGGCTAGTTCATTAATCGGGACTTTCGAGAAACAGGCCCCTGTTTTCTTTCTATCCCGTGCCTTGCCGCTCATGTCATTCTATCCCGTCCCGTTCCTTCCCATTTTGTTCCGTCCCTCTTCGGGTACTCACGTTTCTTCTTGTGTCCTGATATCGTCTACAATCTGCTCGAGTATGGCCACGCTGATCATCTGTTCAGGAGCTTTGCACTTCATCAGATAGATACCGAAATGCTCCAGGCGCACATCTCCAGGGTGCTCGGGTGTGTACTCCCGCGAGAGTCTCTCCAGTCTGGTCCGCTGTTGAATGCACCACTGTGTCAGCGCTTCCTCGACTCCCAGGCTCCTCGCAGCCTCGGCCAAGGAGTTAAGAGCGGATTCTTCGTCATTTTCAGACGTTTGTACAGACTCGGCATCGACGATAATGTCTGGCCTGGGGACAATGGCTTTACATTGAGATTCTGCGTGGTAAAGTGTATTAGTCAGTGAACTACGATAAATTACAAGCGAACAGCTTGCATTAAAGGGACTTTGCGGAGAAATTTAGCCCAATTCAGGCACTAGGCTCTGGCCACCAAAGTAAACGAAACGAAAAAAAAATCACTTGAAACACTGACAAAAGGTTTAACCGACATAACAAAGACGACAAAAAAGACACGTATGTGCTAATGAAGAACGGTAAAACTGATTATAACAAGGAAATTTGAAAAAAGGTATTCAGTTTTTCAAAATCAGTTACTGAGCTAATTATTGAAAGTGAAGAATGATCATCGCAGTAAATTTTCCAATTTAAGCAATTGGAAAGAAAAAGGCTGAAAAAAAATGAATTATTTCATATATACTTCACATCATTTCACTCCTCACGGGAGATATGAACTCAATAAATTGACCTCGCTCCCAATGTGTGGCTACATAGCTCAGTTGGTAGAGCAACGCACCGGCAACGCGGAGGTCACGGGTTCGAATCCCGTTGAAGCCCTGAATTTTTTTTTTTGAATTTTTTTTTTTCAGGCTTCTTCTTTCCAATTGCTTAAATTGGAAAATTTACTGCGATGATCATTCTTCACTTTCATCTACAACCGCAGTTCAAAAATGAATTATTTCATATATACTTCTCATCACGAGCTAATTATTATAGTTGTTGCTGTTTAACCTCGTCCCAAGGGTTCCCCCCCCCCCCCCGGGGACCAGGCTGGTTGTTGTTGTTGATGTGATGCGTTCCGTTTGTGTCCGCTTGGCTAAATGCAGGTTTAACTTCGCAAGAGTCAACCCAGATGGTGGAGCTTCGGTCTAAGATTCGGGACCAATTTTCAGTGTTTTAAGGAAGGAAGGAGGGAGGAAGGAAGGAAGGTAGGAAGGAAGGAAGGACGGAAGGAAGGAGGGAGGTTCTGCCTTTGCCCTACAAAAGGCCAGGCGGAGCTCAAAGGTCCACAACACAAGGAAATAGCGATCTCGTCTCCAGCGTGGGAGGTAAAAAGTATGTCCGTAATAAGTAGGTCGTGCTGTGGCCAATTTGTTGGTGCTATAGACTGTTATTTAAACAAGCATTAGCGCTGTTTGATCAAGCATTAAAGTTAATTGAAAGCTTACTGGAAGACGAAACTATCATAGGAATAAAATCAAATGACAACTTTAATTACCTGTCACCTTATTCAGCTGCTTTTCGTCCCAGTCTCTCAACTCACTTTCAAACACAGCATTGTCCTTATCAACAAGCTCCTGTAAATCCGCTGGCAGCTCCTGAATTGCACTGCCGGCGCCGATACAGCCTTCGCGCCGAGCGTCAATGTACATGAGACAATAGGCGCTCACGTGACGATAACCTCCCAACGACTCACGGGAAACTTCGTCCCACGTGACCTCGCTAACAGTGATGTCGTTGAATTTGCACCATCGCTGCTGTTTGGGGTCTTGAATGTAGGCCCAGTAATGGCCACCGGACGCTTGACCTTCATGCACAAGAACGGCGTGAAGGCGATACGGTAACTGGACAGAAACAAAACATTTGGATGAGTCAAAGTACGACTATGGCGAACTCGTAGATATAGTGTATCCCTCATTGTCTTGGAAAAGCTTAAAATTCAACACAATGCACACTGTGCGCACGATGCACACTCAAAGCGATCTTTGATCGCAGCGAACTTCGCCAAGAAAAATGAGTGAGTGCCTACAAAAATTGGCTACTATTCTTCGCGTATCCATGAGTTAAAATTTTTTTACTCTTCAACGAGTCTTATATACTAAGCATCGGGACGTTTGATTGTCCTCCGGTGTCTACAGCTCTAGACATTAGCAGCCAGCTGTCTAAGACCCAAAGTTCTCTCACGGTTCATGATGCTAGGTTGTGCTAGCAGCACTCTGAGATTCAAAATGAGCCTAGGGTACACATTTGTACACAGTTTATCATTTGAGACACCAGCTACTACACGAACTCACCTTTTTAAGACTATCATCGTTATAAATTGTGGAAATTTTTTCTTCTGTATCTCGAAGATGAGCGTTAAGATCTTTGAAGGAAAAAAGAAAAACAAATTACTTGAGTGATTATCGTCGGTGTCATGTTTCGGATTAGCCCACCATCCTATACCGTGTGTATCAGAGATTTTTTTATCGCGTCTCGCGCGCGGCGGAATGTTTCGGAGCCGAACCTTGAACATCATCATCAATCTTTATTTATACACGAAATCGTATCATTTTACATGGTCTTCCTAGGAATCGTGTTTAAAACTAGACTAAAATACTCTAAGGAACTATTGACTACAATGTTAAAAATACAAAAACTTACATTATGAATAATAAGAGTTACAATGGGTCATGGTGTATTAGAAAAATCTTTCCCATGAATTGAAGTTTTAAAAACATTTAAACTAGGCAGTTTTCTAATCTCTGAGGGAATCTTGTTCAACAGAACAGATCCTCTGTAGTGTAGGCTCCCTTTTGCAGACTCAGTTCTGGGTCTGAGGACATAATAATTTAACTCAGAATTTCTAAGATTGTGTGAATGTACATTTGAGGTGCTGGTAAAGATCCGCCTCAGATACGACGGGGAAAGATTATTATAGATTTTATACATTGTCACAGCCAACTGCTTAAGTCTTACATATTCTAGCCTTTCCCAGCCAAGCTCATCCAACAAAACACTTGAGCGAACGTCATAGTTAGAAAAGGTGAGAATTCTAGCAGCCCTATTCTGCAGCTTTTGAAGTTTGTCTGCCAGTCCCTTATTGACATTACCCCATACGGCACCACAGTAATTAAAATATGGCATTACCAGTGCATTGTACATATTCACTCTAGTATCAAATGGTATAAAATGACTTACACGCCTTAAGATAGCAATACCAGCGGATATTTTCTTTCAAATGGTATGAATGTGTGGGCGCCAGTTCAAAGATTCATCAATTTGAACTCCAAGGGATTTATATTTAATTACTCTTTCTAAGGGTGTATTATTAACTTTGACTGTGAAGTCACTATTTATTTGGGATAACTTAAATTGGCTCCCTATAAGCATGTATTTAGTCTTCTTAACATTTAAAGTTAATTTGTTTGCTGACAGCCATGACTGAATTAAATTCATATCATAATTCATTTTATGTTCAAGGACACATGGGTCTTCTGCAGATGTGGTAAGGGTAGTATCATATGCATACATTCTGGGTTTTGAAAACAAATTACATGAAGGGAGATCATTAATATAAATAGTGAATAAGAGAGGGCCTAAAATAGATCCCTGTGGAATACCACATGTTATATAACCTGGAGACAATTCGAGAGAGAGACGGTAGTCTCTCTCGCGAAATGTCCCAACGACGGGGAGCGATGAGTAGCGGCCTTAGTCGCAACAATAACATCACTTCCAGAGTTCCTAATAACGGCGCCACGTTGACAAGTCCACAAAATAAATGCAGACTTGTGAAGTCAAACCTCTCCTTAAAGTCACCTCTATAATACGTTCACCTCTCTATCACGCATGCTTTTCTTTATCCCAAAGATAACACACTTATTACGACCCCCACCTCTATGCACACCTGTCTCAAGCGGACACGCATTAAAGAGGTTTGTTTGTCTGCATATTTTTAAGGTCAGTCAGGGTGCCTGCTTTCACTTTGACTTTCACGGTCTAATTGAAGACCTTGGTTTCTTACAGTTCAAGAAAATATCATGAGTTCATAAGCTATTTAAAGCGCAGTTCTTATTGTGTAGTCACAACTTGGCCAGTTTATCTCGTTGTGTGCTAACCGGTTTACTCCCATGCAAAAGACAATTAAAACTTAATTTTTGTCACAAATAATGGGGCCTCTCAGGATTCACTTAAGATAGTGTTTGGGTAAAATGTCATTGGGAGTTTTAAGAAATGCACGCCTTATCATATGTGTACTTCTATCTACTTGTGGTGTGCAAAAGACCCCCTTGTAAAACATTTTTTGATTAAAGACTACACATTAATCACATTTCACTAAAAAAATTAGAACGCTAGCCTTCTATTAGCTACCTTTAACATCTTGCTCCATTTCTCGCCGCCATCTCCGTAAGCACTCTTCTAACACGGCTACTTCTGCTTCTGTCACGTGACGCGGAGCAGGGCTCCACCGGACCTCCGACAAGGGGCAAGGCGAGGGGGTAGCTTGATTGGTGTTCATCGGGGTGGGTGAGCCAGACATGGGAGTTTTCATATCCACATCAGAGCTAAGCTCATCACTGGCCGGGGCTGTGCTATGTACAAAGGTGAGGGTACTCTCTAGAACGTCTTGGATAGGACAGCGTTTGGAGCCTTGTCCGTACTTGAGGTATCTGCGGGAAGCAATTCATTGGTTGACAAAAGCCTAGCCTGTGTACAGACGGCCCCCTCCCTCAGACTCTTCTCCCGACTTTTTTCCGAGGGAGGGGGGACGTCTGTACACAGGCTAATAAAAGCCATCATCTATTAAAGTCATTAACATGTATTAAAGCTATGCTGCACGCCATCACTCACGAATTTTTGAGCGGAAACCCACTGCGAAGCTTAAAATGAGCATCACGCAATCGTCGCCCACTTTTAAACGATTGCATGGGCAGGAAACCCTGACCCGTGTGTACTGATGTTGCGCAGTATACAACATTAACTGTAACATGGATTCTTTTTTTCATGCACTTACTTTTCGAGGCTACTTTTAAGCATAGCTCTTCTTTCTTTGAGTTTCTTCACTTCTTCTCTATAGGCTCTTGTGACTTCTTTGTTTCCCTCCATGTACCTAGAACAAAAATTTAAACACTACCCTTTTGGATTGCAACGGTTTTAGATCCGGTGTCGTAAAACCAATCAAATAGAGCTTTCAAAAAGAATACCATAATACTGTTTAATGGCCAGGAGAATCTGTAAGATAAGCGCTACGCACGAAGTTTTGAACAATTTTAAACCTCATTCACTTGCGCTAAACGTGCTGACGATTTTCAGGCACGGCACTGACGTGTAAACGTATCGGTCCCAAATGTAATGTGGCACCAGTGCTCAAAATTTTAGGGATGCCGAGACTACCTCCGGGAGGTAGTCTCGGCACGGGTAAACGACATTTGCATACGAGAACAGAACGGCAAACTTTGCTTAAATTTGGGTCAAGTCCTGTGTTTTTGCATCCTCGGAGACCCAGGGGCAGATAGTGGGGGCGAAGGAAAGTCTAAACGGGCGGAAAAATATGGTACGAAGAAAAGTAAAGAACGGCGAGAAGAGCCCCTGGGGACAATGTCTTACCAGACCAGTTCCAAACGGTCGCCGCCGTTCTGACTTCTGATTGGTGCCAGAAAAACACACAATCAGAAGTCAGAACGGCGGCGACCGTTTGGAACTGGTCTGGTAAGACATTGTCCCCACGGGCTCTTCTCGCCGTTCTTTACTTTTCTTCGTGCCATATTTTTCCGCCCGTTTAGACTTTCCATCGCCCCCACTATCTGCCCCTGGGTCTCCGAGAATGGTGTTTTTGAAAACAGAAAACTTTACATTTTTTTTCAAATTACATCAAAGCTGGAAGGTTCCTCAAATAACTGATAAAGTCGAGTAAGAGCCAAAATTGGTTACCCTGAATTCATATCGCGCACTCTAGAAAAGGACTTAAGAATTATTGGATCAATTTAGGTCTCCGGAATTATTGCACCCAGGTGAGGCTAAGCTTGCACATTGAAGAATGAAGAGTATATGGTATTTTTCGGAAGGTCTTTTACTCTGACCAAGAGTAAAACGCGTGATATCCAATCAACAAATCAGAACTCGCCAGCCGGCGCCAAGCGCGGAAAAAGCGTACGCACAGGGCACGACTGCGCGGGTTTGTTTCAACTTCTGATTGGTTGAAAATGTGGAAGGAGATTTGTGAGCCAATCACATATCCTCTAATAATTCATATCTTACCGATCCATATAGATCACGCCGTCAAACAGCAACCTATCGTGAATCTTCTCTGCTCGGCCAGTTGATTGGTTAAACAAGAATCTGGACAGCATGAACTTGAGTACTACGGGAAGGCCAGTGAACCAGTGCTGGAGTGAAAGAATATTCACAACTTAACTTACAAAGGTAAACTGTGAGGACACGTAACGCTCAACGCCTTCAAACGATTTCAAAATCTGGGCAAAGTAGTTTGAAGCTAAGGTTGTTTTATCACTCTTTAAAGATTAATATAACCTTTTCATTTCTTCAACCTCTGGAAAGCCTCCTGTAAATGTTGTAAGTGTTAAAAGCTGAAAATGGTGTTACTCTCGGCGCTATTTGTCAAGATGCTCAATCTAATTTTTTGAAGGAAGATCATCGCAGTTATATACGCAACTTGTGCAGTTGCGAAAAGAAAGCCTGAAAAAAAAATTCAGGCTTGTACGGGATTCGAACCCCTGACCTCTGCTTTACCGGTGCAGCGCTCTACCAATTAAGCTAACAAGCCAACTAGGAGAAGGTCGTTGAATTGGTTGGTTATAAACCTGTGAAAGGATGATGATGAACTCGGGCAAGAAGCCGTGGCAACCAAAAGAAGCTCAAAACTTGCACAGCTAGCCTCGAGAGGTATTTCTTTTATCATGTCGAGATCCTACTAAATAAAACAAAACCGTCCGCGGTGGACATGTAACGTGGTTTACCCTCTACGTTAATAGCCTGCGTGCAGACGATAACTAAACTCTGATTAGTACCGTCTGCGAAGCAGCGCAGAGATCCTTGTTCTGGGCCCCCAAAGGACTCAACGAATTACCGGAAGTGCGTTTCGAATTCCCCTTCAACCTGATTGGCGATCACGACAAACAAAACAAAGCACTTTTTTAACTGGCCAATCGTGGCGCGTACTCAAATCTGGGTACACAGCTGGAAGTCCAGAACTAGGATTTCGGCGCTGTTTCGCAGACGGAGTTAACCAGAGTTTAATTTCGTCTGCGCGCAGGCTACTACGTTAATTGACAAAATCTAACCGTTTTACCTAGCCTTAGCCTCCCCGCAGACGTCCTTTGGGGTTTGTTCGTCACGCATTCATGAATGCGTGACGAACGAACCCCAAAGGACGTCTGCGGGAAGGCTAACCTAGCCTGAGAAAACAGCCGACATCTCACGACGCCACCACTGGTTTCCCCGCGAGAAGACGTCTGAGAAACGAGCGCAGAAACTCCATACTGATGACGCGTCACTACTCAGATCTAGATAGCGCTTCTGTTGGTTGAGAATTTGCTTCATCCAATCGGAAGCACTATCCAGATCTGGGTAGTTTTTACTGGTTGAAAATTTGCTTCATCCAATCAGAAGCACGTTCCAGGGGCCCGTTTCTCGAAAGGGCATGTGACTTTTCGGGTCCAAAGGCAAATGTTGAAATCAAAATCTGTTGAATAGTAGCACGGTTCCTAACCCATCAACCGGTCAATCCTGCTTCGTTAACTGATAGTTTCATTGTATCATTTTCAAAGTTTTTGAAACTTTGATCTTGAATGCAAACACGGCAAACATCAAACAGCTTTCCGGGCCCGAAAAGTTCAGGGGCACCCAACGTCAATTTTCGGAAAATATCTGTTCGGAAGACGATTTGAGATCTAGAATTTTCGGAACATTTGTTGTAAAATTTCCTGCTTGCCTGCCTCTTTTTTCGAACTTCTAAAAAATGGTATAATTGCCCATTTTTAACAGATTTTTACCCTAAAAAGGTCACCTAGAATTTTCGGGAGCCTTTTTTGTGGCTGAAATTTTCGAAAAAGTAAGTTTTGATCCATATAATTTTCGGATCACTAGACTTTCAGCTAGGAAATCCGAACAGATGAAAACTTTTGAGGGGATGAAAATATGAGTATATCTACCGTTTAAATACGAAAATACGTTTAACAATGCCTCGTTGGGTGCCCCTGAAAGTTACCGGGACTTTCTAGAAACGAGCTTCAGATCCGGGTAGTAAGACGACATCAGCACGGAATTTTTGCAGTCGTTCCTCAGACGTAATTTTGCGCGGAAATCAATGCCGGCGTCGAGAAAAGTCGGCTGTTTTCTCAAGCTACGTTTGATCAAGACGCTGTACCTCTTGTCCAGATTTATGTGTTCCTTCAGAACCAACCGGTTCAATCTCCACCTGAGCCATGGCTCCCTCTAAACTGTCATGCAAGTCACTGTAGCCTTGCACTTGCAGAGGAAATGCTCCAAACGTTTCCTTTTTGCTAAAAGTTTTTCCTGGTGGACATAAGAAGGAAACACTGGTGAAAAGAAGTTCAAACTGCCCATGAACAAAGTTCCTGTCTAGCCTACACTGCTTCAATATTTATTCATAATGAGTTGACACATTCACTCCTAATAATGGTCAAAGTTAAAATTTACATTAAATGCCACTACTAATTTCAATTTGCAAACTCCTATAAAAAAATTCAGTGATAAGAGAGTTCAGTTGAATTGTCAACATCACGGGACTTCGTCTAACGACTCAAAAGTTTGAAGTTCAAAAATCATCTCACCAATCTTAGTCTAGGAGAGATATGGTTATGAAAGGACGCTTTGCCTGAAACCTTAAGCCCTTTTAATAAAAATGTTTTTGGAAGTGATATTGAATATTTCATTCGGCAACCACCACAAATAAATATCTGCATGACACATTAAAATCTTAAGTTTTGGTGACCTATGGCATGCTGTAGCCACAGGGTACCCATATGACCAGAGTTCAAAATGGTTTTTGCTGCATGAGACGCCTTCAAGAACGTACCTTCTTAACCCATCGCCCCTCCCCCCCACCCCTACCCACCAAAGTTGATTTTATTGTTCTAATAGTACCCACTTTCACATCTGGGGAGGGGAGAGACAGGGTGGGAAAAGTGTTTTCTTAAAGAAAACAACAATGGCCTTAAGTTCAATGCACTAACCAAAAGAGCACTCTGCCTTGATAAGCATAATACTCTCATTCAAGAGCAACCAACCTTCATAAACACCTTCCACATTGGCTTGGCCAAAAAATAGTTCCACCACTGGATTAAGCCTATACCAAAATAAAATAGACAAAGAAGGTAGATTTTAGAAACTTGGACAAGAGCCACAGAAGCTCAAATGCGACTGCTAACCTTGAATTCTATTGATTACGACGTTTACGAGGGCTGGGTACGATTATGGGATGCACAACACAAGACCCTCATATTCAGAAAGAGCACATTAAGTTAAGGGAAGATCTCAAGTTTGGTCCAATATTGAGCAAGATACAGCTATTTAAAAACTTGAAAATTTATTAAGAGATATATGGATTGCCAGATAGGCCCGATAAACATCAAACTTGAGATTTATGCTCTTTCTGAACATGTGGGTCTTACGTTGTTCATCCCATAATAAATGGACATGTACCAAGCCCCCCTGGGTTTGAAATTAGGAAACAAACAATTTTTGTGTATGCAGTGTAACGTGCCCTTGATTGACTCAGATTAGATTTTTGTTTTGTCTTACCAAAATGCTGAATTAGCCAGTAATACATCCTTCCAACAACATCCAAAAAATTATTTGCAGCCCTGATGTTTTATGGAAATCTTGTGCTCTATACATATGACATAGTAAATTACCAACTGGATTAAAACAACAACAGACCTTTTTCCTGGAGAGCTGCTAGTCTTCTTTTCTTTGAATGAGTCTTCAAGCCATTCAAGTAACTTGTGGGTGAACTCACTCACATCCTAGTGGAAAGTAAACAGAAGCGTTACTGCAAGAGATCTGGTTCTGGCCAAATTTATCAGTGAGTTTGTACCTTGAAAAAATTGTAACCTGATCACGTGTTTTGACCTTCTATCACATGAAAGTTATGCAGAGCGTCAGCGTTGAGGCAAGAGCATTTTGACCATTGACCAGATGCCTAACCTTTGGTTATTAATAGTTATTCTGGCCCAACCTAAGCTGCTGTGTCCTCCGTAGTTTTTTGAGGGGAGAAGACCTGACAGAGAGAGGCTTATTGAAAATATAAAGCTAAAATGGGAAGTTGGTCTAATAGATAGAGGAAGTTACTTGAAATAATTAGCCACAATAGGTTCTGATCAGTAGAGCTCAAGATACCTGTTGATTGCCAGGGTTGCTTTCACTGCCATTGTATTTCAGTGCTTCCTTTAATATCTAAAAGCCAAGAATATATTAGTACTATACCATCCTACAGGAAATTAATAAGAATTATTCTTATACCTAATGTGGTAATTGAGGGCTATAGACTACAGTAATGTTAGATGATAGAACACTGCATTAAAGATGGAATGATCCATTTAGTGCATTGATTAGGAAATCTCCTCTGAGAAACAAGTGAAGTCAACAGTCATCCATTTTACCTGGGGGCCTTGGGTACATGCTTACTTGACTTTTATGCAGATAATTACGTCAAGAGAAATATTAATATCAATCATCACTGCTACACGAGATGGGAAATTTGTCACCAAATAAAAGTCAGTCAGTCAATCAACTGTACTTGACTTTTGCCTGGTGGACATAAGAGGGAAAAACTGGTGAAAACAAAAGACCAAATTTGGAAGAATTTTGCGTTTAATGAACTGATGACGTCAAAACTGCAGCCTTCTCGCAGGTTAATGCACTGTTAACCAAGAAGACCTGGGGATGAGGTTGAGTTGTTTTGGTTGTGAAAACAAAAAAGGTAGACATTTCACTCATTTCAAGAGTAAGAACTAGGAGAAATAATAGCTATAAACATGGCAAGAACAGCAAGAAGACAACTCGAAGGGTGACATCTGCAATTTGGAGAATATTTGCGGAGCTGAACAACCCTAAACGTGCACTACCAAAGATGAACTTAACATCAATAGAGGTAAGCATGTTTTAGTTATGTTTTTAAACTAGGAATATTATTCTTTTGAATGAATAATAAAACAATTATTGAATTCGGCTTTCGTATCATATGAAGAATTATGGAGATCTCGGAGGGTGTTATCTGCCTCAGCCTGCAGCCTCGACGGATAACACCCTCCGAGATGTCCATAATTCTTTATAAGATACTCAGTCTCATTCATTAATTGTTAATCAACAACACAGTCTTTTATACTTTAATAATGATAGACACTTGCTGTTCTCATGAGCAACAAACTTCATTATCATCTTCATCTTCACCGTGTCATCCTACTATACAGATGTCCATAACCCACCCTACTCTTTTACTATACAGTCAGCTGCTCCCCATTCTCTACAAGACTGTGCTTACAAAAATTACCAGGAGCTCAAAAGCTCTATACCTTTGAAACTCAGGGTGCTCAGCTTTAAGATTTTGTTCACCTTCAAGCAAAACTAGGTAACCAGGGGCCAAGCCCATCTCCTATATAAGAGCACAGCCGAGTTCTAAGACACCATTTTTACGTAAAAGTTGGGACCAACATTAATATCTAGGTATCCTTTTTAAGGGAGGTGTCCATTAAGAGAGATAAGATTGTACGTGAGTCTTAAAAAACAGTGAGCAAAGAAAGTAGTGTCTGATAGACCTGGACAAGTGGATTTTGCTATTGGGCTAGTGAATTCTGTTCTTAACTTGCCCCATGGGCAAGTGAAGTTTTTTGAGGAGTTCAAATTGCAGAAGAACTGTGAAATCAATCCTGTTTATCAAAAAGTTTTTGGGGCTAGTTGAAATGAATTTTGGGCTAGTAAATGCTAGCCAAAGCTTACCTGAATGGCAAGCCATAAAACTGACTTTCTTTGCACCCTGAGAAGGTTTATAAACATCACTAAACACAATATACCTGCACTGCCTTAGTAGGATCAACATATTTTCTTTTACTTCCGAGCATCAACGCAAATATAACCCGCAGCTCAGTCATGAAGGATACACGATAACTGTCCTAAAACACAAAGCATTGTGAAAGAAAAGCAAAATCAATCACAACACAACAGACACACAGGGACTGTTCTCTGACATAAGGCAATGGGAAAGAAAAGGCAAAATCAAACACAAACACAATAATCTAAATCAAGATGCTGAAAATAAAATCAGAGTCTTCGATTGATATTTTCTTAAATAAATTAAATATTAATCAGTATAATCTAGTGATCTCGGTGATCTTAGTAAAATACTAGTACATGTGGTCTTACATTCTTAAGTCCACAAAAGCCCTTTGCTTATGGGTGACTTGAAAAACTTTCCTTGTGCATAAAACTAATTATTTTCTAATTCTTCTCAGAGCATTGCTTCAGATGGCCATTAGAGGAAGGAGAATGTCTATTACAAAGTAGCACACCCAAGAAGCAAATCACACATTGAGATCAAGACCAGGTACAAGACGTTTGATCCATAAGAGTCATCATACAACATTATATTATTGCATCAGCTTTGTCAGCTTTGTGATAAAGGACACTTTGCTAGTTTAAATAAATCACAGCAATAAAACTCACCTCTTGTTTGTCCGGGGGATCAATGGGTGGAACATAATTCAGAACAAGTCGACGGAAAACAGGAAGATGAAACAGCGACTATTAAGAACAGCACATCAATAATTAGACAGGCAATTAAAACAAGACAGTGAAGAACAATAAGTGTTTTTACCCATATGAAGGCATAGAATGCATAACTGAGGTGTCCTTCACAAAAACAGTCAAGGGTTTTTTTTCCAAGTACATTTGCATTCCAAAAAAGAGGCCATTGCAGTTGTCCATTGTCATTAATAGAGAGAGGATGTTAAATCATCTTGTCATGGTAGCGAAACTTCTCGATGACAACAAACTGAAAACGTCACTTAAAAGTGAGTTTGCACTGTTTCAACCTTCGTCGCTCTTATTCAGTTTGAAATTGAAAGGACTGTATCTAAGTTTAGAAAAAAAAGAGAAAACATACACAGGTGCGTAAAATTGGGAAGTTTCACATTACAGTCGTGCAACGATGGCTGAAAAATGTGCAAAAAAGTGTGATGAACAAGCAAAGTTATTGTTTTTCTATGCCTAATGCTTTTTTACCGATCTCATTGCTGTCACGGCCATCATTTTTTAAGCTCCTTATTGTTGTGATCCAGAAATTTTGCTACCATGGTAACGAGACATCACACTTTTCTCTATATCATTGCCATTTTCATTTTCTTTACTCATCATCATTCCTCATTATGTTTACCTCCATTAACTTATACTAATAAAAATATTGTCCCCAGTTTAGAGAAATTAGTAAATAGTGATTGTACCTGAATGACAGCGCTAAACCAACAAGTATTGCCAACATTCTTGAGGCCCACAGGACACCCATCCTGCCTTTGCCGCTCATACGGGTTCACAGGATCCACAAACCTGACCCAGGGATCACCTCTCTTTCGCTTCAGCCCTGACTTGTTTTCTGCTAAACTTGCTTCCAAAACCCTTACAAAAATCACACACAGTTTCACCATGATAACAAAAGTAATAAATTTGAATAAACTGACTTCTGACTGTATTTGGTTTCACAGAAAATAAAACCCTACAAAATATTACAGGTTGAGGAAGACTTAGAAAAGTGCAAAAGGTCTTACATTTTTTCCAGCTAAATGAGGAAGTTATTATTCTAATTTCAGAGTGAGGAAATAATGTCCTACAGTATCATTTTTCTATTTTCACCCTACCTGCTAATATCCTGTTCTTCCACAGTGATTCCCTGGAAAATGAACCATATCGATACAACAGATTAAATACAACTTATCAATCAGTACATCATTGTGCAGCCAGGCTTTGCTACAACAACACTCAGAGGCTCCTGGTGACTTACTTTTGCCTTTGGGGTATTTGAGCACAATAACTTGCATGCTAGGTGCTTCGGATTTTGATTAATAGCTCAGAATTTTAAGGCTCCTGGAAGTCCCCCTTACAGTGCAGCCTTGATTGTGATATGACTTCCTTATTTACTGGAAAGAAAGGTGTCCTCCAATGAGCCACTAAGTTCCCCCCCTCCCTGCCCCACTGGTACATTAAGGGACAGAAATATTAAAAAGAACAGCCCCCAAATAAGAAGCATATCCTTCAAACAACATACAGATCAGGACATGTGTTGTCACCATCAGACGCGGTCGCAGTCCCTCAAAAGAGCTGGTCATTTGCAAGAGGCTCCAACTACCAGTATAATGCTTTGACCAGGAAATTTTGGCATTTTACTAAGGCAGTCACTTATGAAAGCTGGTAGCACACGGAGGTATAACTGTATAATTTTTATTGCTCTAGTTTCAGGGCTGTCAATAAGGGCTGGTAGCCCAAAACCAATGGCTAGTTACATTGTAGGCATCCTTAGACGGCTACTTTCATCTCCTTCTACTATAACTGCTAACAAAAAATAAGTACCATCAAATGAAATTGAATGCATATTTAAAAAGGTTTAGCTCTGTGAAATGTGTGAACCGTGCCATGTCGTGGAACGCCTGGGACATTTTGACGGCATTGTTCCTAGTCTTGCATGTATTCTAATGAAAAAACACTGCGTCTGCGGTGGAAAATACCTCTTGAAAACCACTGAAAATGCCATTTGCCAGACTCTAAATTTCAAAATGTCCCTATCTGCCTCGGCCCTCAAGAACTTGTACCTTTGGTCCAAGTTCCAAAGCCGCCTACTATTCTTAACTAGCCTGCTACCTTAAACCTTCTTGACAGCCCTGAGTTTTAACAAAAAGTGATGAATAAGTATTTCTTTTTCTTTTTTTTCTGTGCCAAAACAAGGCTCAATGTAGAGATTTGAAATGAAAGACAACATTTCAGCTTTTTCCACTAGTATTGCCCACTCAAAGTTGGTGTACCTGTGCCTCCTGTAAACTGAGAGCAATAGCTTTCTCAAGGTCATCATCCTTGTCCTTTGTCAGATCAATAACATCCGCTGAAAATCAACATTTGGATGAAACACTGTGTGTTAGTCTAAGAACCAATTTTGTTCAGCCTTTTGTTTTCAAGTATTGTTTTAAAAATACTACATATTAGACTGCATTGTTTGTCATTTTTGTATTGCTTCTTATTTGACCAAATTGGAAGTATTTTGCTTTTGCTGATCTGACAGATGTAGAAAATTATAACACTTACCTTCTGTTTTACCAGGAGCATTTTGTGGTCCTATAAATGTTTGAGTTCCTGAACAGAAAAGCTTCATGTCATTAATTCTCATAAACTTTGCTCTTGATTAAGTATTGATGCCATTAGGAGAAAATTGGTGTTGGAAGCAAAGCATAGTCTATAAGAAAAATTAATATTACCCATCACGACACATACCTGTCTGGTTAGCTTCACCCTGCAAAAGATAAAGAAAATAATGCTATTTAATATCATGGGTGACAATTTTTGTGCGAAATTTTAGCATTAATTACTTAATTAAAGAAAATAATGCTATTTAATATTATGGGTGACAATTTCCGTGCGAAATTTTAGCATTAATTTATAACTTCACATGTGCCACTATAAAATTGCCATGGCAACCTTCCGCGTGTCAGTGCTATAAAGATGGTGGCAAAGTTTTAAACTGTTATGTATGAAACGGCATTAAATAAATAAATAAACGAAGGTTTAGAAAACCTAAACACATGAAAGAGCATATCAAGAAGGATTCTATCAGGAATTTTGTCCAAAAATTCTGAAAATTATGAGCTTAAGCCAAAGTGTCACATGAAATCCATTATTAAGCAAATTGAGTAGTTTTAATTTTCAGTGGACAAAAACCATGTGCCAGAATAATTCAAACAATATCACATTCTTTTTTACATTTTTCAAGGGCTATAGATTATTATTAGTTATCTGTGGAAACACCATTGAAAGACTATATCTCTTGGGAGCCCAAGAAAATAAATGTCAAATTTTAGTCTTGTTGCCAGTCATCCTCGGCGATTTCAGATGTGACCTCACCTATCAAGCTTGTCGGGAAAATTTGCTGACACTGCCTCGCGCTATCGCGCTCAGTTTCCAGCCTCCTCTGGTAACTAGGATAGCCTGAACTGGCCTGGGTACTAGGCTGGTCAAATTTCACAAGAATTGTGAAAACACAGGAAAAAATTGCAAAAATAGTGTGACTGAAAATTTCATGTGGAAGATGTCATTTTGTGAAATTTGACATTTATTTTCTTGGGCTGTAATAACAAATTTTCTTTGGTGTTATCAAAGATAACTAATTAAATAAATAGCCCCTGAAAATGTAAAAAAGAATGCGATATTGTTTAAATTATTCTGGTACAAGGTTTTTGTCCACTGAAAATTAAAATTACTCAATTTCCTATTGGATACTGTCTTAAGCTCTAAGGTGTTCATTTCATGGAGTTCTCAATCAATAATCAATTTGATGAACAATGTCAAAAACTTACACTCGCGCGCGTAATTTGTCACCCATGATATTTTAATAGGTAATCAAAAGGTATGCTCGTGAAATTAAGGAATAATTTTACTTGCAATTTGTCATTAGGATTTAGACAAGACATGTTTGAAATTATTTCCTAATTTCACCACTCACCATTTGATTACATATACAAACCAAATAAAGTGTACCTCTCAGAGCACAGAAGAGAACCAACAACAAAATGCAATCAATAAAAAAGTAGTCTACTGAACACACCTTATATGAACCATTATGGTTTTGACGATCAGTCAACAAACCAAAGGCCTCATCAAAGTTGTGGTTGCTAGCCTACAAGAATTAAATATTGATTAGACATACAAAAAAAACTTGACACAGATGCTTTAACTGAGATTACCTCTTAAAAGAAAAGAACGCTTGACAATATAAAGTGTGCCATATCCATAAAGGGCATCAGGAGAGGTTAGTTCTGTCATTCTAAGTTTTCATCGTGCTTAAGCCTTTAAGCCCTAAGAGTGATCAGCATGAAATTTCTCCTTATTATATCAATGCTTTAGAAAACAGAGTGGTCATGAGAATTGAATGCATGATCAAGGAAGACGAGTCAAATTGATAATTCAACAAATTCTCCCCATTACTTCTATTGAAAAAGTATAGGGACAGTAAATGAGAATCTCAATTTTGATATTAGGGTTTAAAGGGTTAATAACCCTCTCATGGCTGTGCTTTAACAGCAACCGGTGTCCTTTGGTGTCTTAGATTTGCTCTTAAACAACTAGGATTCTTTTTTTTTGGAGAAACCCTGTGCTGGGCATTCTGTATTTCACAGGGCTCCCTTTAGTTTTTCTAAGAGCATGGCCTAGAGTCACTGCATCAGTATTTTCATGCGGCACTTATTTTTAACCTCTATGCATGATTACCTATCATAAGTGACATGGCAACAGCAGCATGTGAGTATTGGGGGAACAAAGAGTTACATGTGGCTAAATGCTATAATAATTCAGCATTTTGTTTCTCACTTCTAGGCAGTTCTCGCTGATTTAACCCCTGGGCCACCCATCCCTTTTGGCATGTATGTGTTCCACTGTTCATTTCAGTGTGACAGTGCCTGGTGGTAGCCACTCACAGGGTTGTCATGGACATGCTAAGCATTCGGCTTAGTTTTTCCAGTGGCTCCACCTTTCTTTATCAGGCACCATTCCTCAAGCTCATTTATTGTTGATGGATTTAACTGTTTAAGAGAGACCAGGGGAGTAGTGTTAAAAGAAAAATCTGCAGATTACAGGTCTGAAGAGGTTGGCACCTCTGAGCTTGTTATAAACAACTTACAATATAAGCTTGGTTAGCCTCCTCATATGATGCACCTGTAGCTTCTTGAAGTTGACTCACCACCTCAGTATTAACAATAACCTGCATGACAGGCAAATAGCCATTATCTACATGTTCACTGTAACTACAGCAGAACCCCAGTAATTTTGAAGGGAAACGAAAAACAATTTGAGTTAGCAAGGATTCGAGTTATCAGGGTTGCTTGCAAAATTCAATTTTTAGTTTTGAAAATTGATACTCACTGATTTTTCTGCACTTCTGGCAGCGTATAGTGCTACTGCGGTCAGGGTTGTCATTAAGAGCTGGGGGCCGGGGATTTTCCCCGGCTACTAATAGAGTGGCCCCCGGCTACTTTTATTGGAAAATAGAAGAAAAATAGAACCAAAGAAATCCCTAGCCGTTTGATTCCCCGCCTACTTGTTGTATTTACCCGGCAACTTGAAATCTTAGTGACAACCCTGTGCGGTGCTAGTTATTTTATCAGAAATGGTAACATGATTAAGTTTTTTTTTTTTTTGACAAAACGTGATCTGTTCGTTGCACCAATCAAAATCAAATTGCTGTAAGTGTTAACCAGTGTTAGATTAGTGTTTTTAATGATTATACATACAAAAAGAGCTAAAGGAATGGAATCCTTTTAGAGTTTCAAGAACCAGAATTCAAGTTATCAGGGTAATTTTCAGTGACTTTTTGATAAAGGGAAAGTAAATTTAGTTTGAGTTAGGGAATTCGAGTTATCCGAGCTTGGGTTATCTGAGAAAAAATGACTGAAAAGTGGGGTGAAATCCAAGGAAAAATGGACTTAGTTCGAGTTAGCGGGAAGTTCAAGTTATTGGAGTCTACTGTAGCAGTACTCATAGATTAAAGAGTGCATTCAAGATTAGAGTATCTTTTGATTGAATGTGCATAGAAATGCCACAGAGTAAAATTTAATGACATCTACAAAATCTGCACATTGTAACTATTTTTTAAATTTTCAAGCAGTCCTAAAATCTTTTCCTTAAGCATAACAGGGCTCAAATTTTCTTAAGGACAATCTGAGCCCATGATGTGCACAAGAAAGATTCAACGACAGTTAAAAATTTTTTCAAGGATTTGTATGGAAAACCACTGAGGCGTGACTGGCTAGCAAGAGTTATTTTTCCCAAAAACATCCTTTCAATTTTTGGCGGCAGTTGCAATCATTATTCTTGAGATATGGTATATGGCTGAAATTTACAGAAAGAATTGTTTTTGTGTTTACAGAAAGTTGAACACGTGACCAACCATTGCAAAAGGCCTCCATTCCATAAATTGAAAATGTGCAATATCTTGGCTGACATGGTTGGTGAAAAGAAAGAAAAACAAGCTGCACATGAGCTATTCTTGTTGCCTAGTACAGGATCATGGTCTGCCCAAGATGTACCGGTAATTCAGCATGGTGCTGAAAAGGCGGACTAACATTGAAAAACGCAAACTTGTTAAAAAAATGCCCATGACTAGGATGGGTGTTTTTCTAAAGTTGAATGCGAAAAAATATAAAACATTCATTCATTAGGAATTGGCAGAAAGATTAAGGCTTAGATAATCTCAATCTTGAATAATTGACACGATGGCGTTCTTCCAAATATCTAGGATGCAGAATTTCTGTTTTTGGATCAATTTTTGACATGCTTTTGAGACAATCTAGGATTTTTCTTTGCTTTTCATGTCATGTGCTTTTTCTATCGTTTGTACTAGATAATGCTCTTAAAAAACATGTCGCTTACTCTGTGAGCAGAGGTTTCTTCCTGGCATGGCACCTACTCAACAGAAACCACAGATGGCTCGCTGCAGAGTTTTCTCTCGGTGGCGTAAACAAACCAACTACGCAAAGTATAGTGATGCAAACTACTTTGTGAATGCTAAAAGCCATTCTGCAAAAAACCTCTGCTCGCAGGGTACATATTGTTAGAAATTTTTTTTGCTGAGACAGTTGTTTCCAACTCCTGAGACTAACTTTTAAACACTAATTCTTAATATCAGGCAACATTCCCTGCTATCAGAGGCCTCTTTTCCCAGGTATTCGCTTGGCGCGAGGAAAAGGGCCAAACAGACCTCAAATCTTTGAATGAAGCCAGTTATACCATGAGTTCATACTTCCTTATACGAGTTTGACAGAGTCTACACTAAGCACAAAGAACTGCAGAGTATGACTACAATGACAGCCAGAAAAAGATCATTCGCTGGATTCTGATTATCATCAGACACTAAGATTACCGGTACAGACGTAGTAAAACGTGCAAATTTTGTTTAAGGTAAAAAACCTACCCGAACACGTTGCTTTCTTATCGATCGTAATCATTCATATTGGTTTTATAAATACTGATGGAAGAAAAATGTGAGAGGAAAAAGCTCCCTTCTCTAGGGAGACAAAATTATGTAGGTTTAGTGTTCTATATGTCATTATATAGTAAACTCAACTTTAAATGACTTAACTAAAATGACTTACGAGCTTACTCAACCTTAAGCTTAAGCTGTTTAACTTTTACCACGACTTTGTAAAAAAAGTCATGTCAATGAAACTATTACCTTTTTAGCCGATGAGGGGTGTTCAACGGTCATAACTGTCAGAAATCGTTGGCAGCAAAACGCTGCCTTGTGGCCATTCACATCGCTGTCAAAAGGACTCTCATCGCTTTTGCTCAAAACGTCCGTGAAGCCGCCATTTTACCCACAGAATGTTACCCACAATGCATCGGCAGTAAACACTCCTGGCGTGTAGGGGAGGAGTCCGTGAGTCACTCTGGAAAGTCTAGTGAAGGACCACAGGCGATTTCATCATTAGAGCGGTTTTCACTTGACTGTCGAAAGGGATTGGTTTTGGTTTTGGTTTTGGTTTTACTACGCCCTTTGGTTGGCTAGTGTATTTACTTTGGTTTTGGTTTTACGACAGTCAAGTGAAAACCGCTCTAATCACCAATACTATTTCCTCAAATTTGATTGGTGTATTAACTGCTTCATCTTTCACTAATAGGGTTGTAATCGGACAGTGTAATCGGACAATTGGCGGTAATCGGACAGTTACATTAGCCAATCATATTACGTGCACTGTGCCAAATCCACCAATCAGAGAAGTTATCACAAAAACCATAGCAACAACTACACTTACCCTACCAAATGGGCCGGGGATTTTCCAAAATGGACGAATTTGTAACGCTAGTCTCCGTCAGTGATATTTTCCCTAATTTTCACTGAATTTTGGACATTTGGTATTCAAATGCTCTTTCACCGAATAAGATCTATGCATTTATTTTCTCGGAAATTGTAACCGTTATGACTAATTGGTAACAGGACCTCGTGTCGTGCAATTCGGTCTGTAATCATAGTCGTGATCAACAAATCGACTCCCGCTCCGCGGTCGTCTGATTTTGTTCATCACTCGTACGATTACAGACGGAATTAGACTCCACTCAGTCCTATTACCATTATCTATTACCCTGGCTCCAGACGTCCGTTCTCGGAATACCAAGGATAAGAAAGAAAGAAAGAAAAAAACCTCTGATACCCACCCGGGGTAATCCTCTATTGGTTGGTCATGGTATATAACTCTAAAATTGTGCGTAGCTGCAGATTTCTAGGTCAACCCTGAGGTGTGTCTTGCAGCAGCGCAGAACAAGTCTAGTTAATTTTTACAGGGTATCTCAGGGTATCGCAGGGTATCTCAATGGTAATATTTTATGTTAAGCGCGAGGAGCCAGTTACCCGGGTTAAAAGGCTTTGCATATTATGATGTAATAGGCCCCTGGGGGCCCGGACAAAGGTCTTGACGTCCAGTTAAATTTTAATTATTATTTTTTTTTTGAAAAAAACAAAACACGGACAAAAAATAAAAGAAAGGTAATTGATTTTGTGTTACTGTGAGGGACAAAAAGAGACTGTAAAAAAGAATAAATTAATAATATTCACAACAGAAAATTTGACCACTTTGGCTTTCGGCTAGCCTGCGATCAGAGGTTTCTCTCTTGCATACGCAGTCCTTGGTTGCATGTGGCTTGACAGGCAAGTCACGCAAACGACTCTGTAAACGCTAAAAGACATGCAAGAGAAAAACTTCAGCTTGCAAGGTGGCTTTCGACCTGTCCACTGGTGCAATTTTCGATTGATAACACCTACCCAGCAGCAGGTAATTAGAAAGCCATTAGAGCAGAGCAGAATTCATCAGAAATAAACCTGTTTGGTCTAAATTGTTAAAAAATAGCGTACCCTTCGTAGGGGGTTGGTGCCCCAATGAATGGGCTCTATCATCCGTAACGCTCTAGCGCATACTAGCGCTCTCTATTTTCCGGTGTCTTTTGTCTAATGGCGATACTAATGAAATCATTTATCAAGCTGGGTCCGTGCTCGACTCGTGCTATGTTTAAGAAGAGCCCGTGCGGAAATATAAAGAAGGTGCGATCCCTGTGGGAGTCCGGGAATATGGGAACGTTGAGATAGGGGGTGATTGGGGGTTTCGGGCGCCCCCGTCGCCTACTCGAGCCAAGATTGCGTGATGCAAAGGAGATATTCGGTTGCTTGGAAGCTCAACATATACGCTACCGGGATCCAAGGAACTCCTGCTGTAAAAATACATTTTGATTCCTCTGCGGTCGACTCTTCTGCACCCACAAACATCCGGCTCTCCAACCAAAACGACTTCAAAAGCGGGGCGGCTACACAGCTATAACCCCAGCTAAGTAACCAAGCTTCCAGCTGTTGTGGGTCATTTCATCTGATCTGGGCAAGGCACTCTACTTTCGCCCGGCCATCTGATTTTATGTATATATATTTAGTCATGTTTGAAAGGGTATTAACAGCAAGGTCATAAACTCGGCAGCGAGAATTTTTTCTTCCAAAAGAAGCGATTTCAAATCCGCCATGGAGAAAGGCTTTCCTCCGCGGTTTGAGTTGCAGGAACAGATCGGAAAGTTAGTATACCGCGCGGTAGTCCGCGAAAGCTGTTCTGGCGTATGCTGTTAGTTGTGAGCAAAACTGCGAATCACCTTGATTCGATTGTTTGCATTATCTTGCTTTGATGACTTCTTATCTTCTCGTTTAACTATTTTGATGGTTTGTATTTTGTATTGCTGTCATAAATTGGATCGAGTAATTCAAAATTGTAATGTTGTCGCAGAGGTACATTCAGTGTTATTCGAAGATGCTTCGACAAGAGGAGCGATCGAGTTTGTGCTGTGAAAATTGTTGATGTGGCAAAGATGACTTCTTCAAGTGGCCTCACCGAAGAAGGTAGGAAGCTATATCTCATAATGAGTGTAATATTAAACCTCGAACAAGCTTGTTTGATTTTTTACAGGCGAACTCTCGACAATTAAGATTTTTATTACTGGTTCTATGCGTCCTTATATTGCATGTGCGCAAAACCTGTCACAAAAACTTGAGACAGAGAAGGGGTTTGCTTGCTATCATGCTGTGAATATAAGGCCAGATTTCTGTTAGATAGCAGGTAAATAATTTCTCTTATGCCTTTTTTTGTTGTTGTAAAATAAACACTCAAGGAGAATAAATTACAAAAGTCCCTTAGGACAGGAATAGGCAAACCACAAAGAACACGATAATTCCAACAGATGGAAGCTTCGTTCGATCTTCTTTGTTATGATATATTGGACACAGCGAAGGTAGATCTGTTTTCCTCCGTTATTAGATCATTGTTGAAGAGGTTGATTGTCAAATCAGAGATTGACCTGGTATATTTTTATGCTGATGTTTTCCGCTTCGCTTCGCGCGTTTCTGCTTGACTAACGTTTCGAGCAAGCGTTCGTGGTGTAAATTTCAAGAACCGAAAGTCAAACACATTTATAATATTTCTGTCAATTTGTGATTGTTGTTTTCACAGATTTACAAAGGGAAGCCCGCATTTGTCAGAAATTGCGCCATCCCCATATAGGTATGGATATTAAATACCCTTGACATAACATTTGTAATCATACAGTAATTCTATTTGAGACTGTTTGTAATTTTCAGCAATTTTAATTGGAATACCATATTCTTAACTATGTAAATATGAAATAATGAGTAGTTGTGGCTGTGGCAGTCTCCATAAAAATTCTTGTTATATTTAAAAACTTTGCTTTATCACTAAAAATAATTAAGATAAGAATAGCGTTAAAATATATCAAATTAAAAATTGAAGTCTTTCCTGGGTTGAAGTTAAGTTACTATTCTTCAGCCGAAAGAACAACAAAAGTCACAGAATCGGTTTGGTTTTCTTGTAATTGTTGTTCCCTTTTTTCACCACAAAGTAAAGATCGCAAATTTTGCATAATCTAACAGGAAAAATAGAGCAAATTGTTTATTTCATTCAGATTCAAAAAGTTTCATTTTATTGAAAAAGCGAATTATTGCGTATAAAAAATTTTGGTAGCTGAAGTAAAGGCAAAAAAAACCCTTTAACCCAAAGAAAAAAGACATTATTTTGAATTAACAGAGTACTCATTTGTAAAAAAGTGCTTTTTGACAAAATTATTTGTTTGAAATAATATTGGAAACTTCCAAGAAAAATACATAGAAACTTTGCCTAAATATTGTGAAGGTGGGATGTCATACCTTACCTTCACAAATGTAGCTGAGTATATATTTCCTTGTTGAGTAAATAAAATGTTTCCTGTTTTACGTATGTTTTTGGGAATGAGGGGTTGTTGTGATTGGTCTAAAGAAATTAATTAATTATTTTCAATTATTTTTTTCAATACAGGCATATTTAATTGTGAATCTGTCAGTTGTCTTGTATTGAGAAGATCTTTACATTCAGTCTATTTTTTCAATGGAGGCATATTTTATGCATCTATCAGTTGCCTTGTGTAGTTGAGAAGATCTCCACATTCACTAAACGTAATTCTTTTTGTCTGTGTTGCCTAAACCCAAAGTCAAGGCTGATTGGACAACTAAGTAGGGTGAATGTTTTTGCCCAATATTTTGGTTGGACAAGGCTGCCAGAAGCTTAGTGAAATATAGAATAAATTGATTGCAAAATTTAAAATAAGTGTTAACAGAGTCAAGTCAGTTTTCTTTTCTTTATCTGAGGCTGTGATTTTAAAATCATTTTTGTGACCATTCAATTGGAAGCTATTGATCTGTGCCTCCTGGCAGAGCTGCTGTAACAATGCAAAGATAATTTTCGTTATACAAATCTTGATACCACTGTCGTCTAGATGACTTACATTATACTTGTATGATAAAAGGTGACAAAACTTAGTGAAGGTCTGAATATCAATCATGTTTTTAGTTTAAAAATTTGTGAGTACAATGTTATGGGAGTAAATTCATACATTTCTTCAGGACTCAATAGTGTACCTTTAAACTGAATTGTGAGACAATTTTGAGTTTAAATCATTGTATAATGCCACCCATACCAAATGGAAAACAACAAAAACAAAGCAAAATGAAGTGATCAGAATTATTGATCCTTTTTTGCCTACTTTTGCATAAGTTTGAGATGGCTGGATATAAGCCATTTGCACTAAGAGGTCATGTGACATCATTTTTATGAAAATGAAAGTTATATGATTTTTCCTTCGAAAAAAATCAGTGGGTCATATCATAAACAAACTAATGGTGATATTTGGTTTTTTCAAACCCGGACTATTTTCTTAAAATGAGTAAGTTCGTAGCTGGTGATGTGAACAAAATTTGATATGTAAAATTATGAATTACCCATTTCTGAACACAAATTTTGCACTTATACGTCAAGGAAAATGTTGAAAAGATGATGTGGTAATGTTTACAGCAAATCTGAGTGTAACTATCAAACGTTTAACAAGATACTTGCCATTATTTTGGAGGGCAAGAGTATGCTCTCCAACACTGCAGCCAATACAAATCATACTACTTTGTTGAAAAATCAAAGTGCCATAAAATATCTCCCTTAAATGTATTTCCTCTCAAACTGCGGGTGTAAGATAGTAATATTTATTTATTTTTATGTGCTCTGTCAATGTTTGGCATCAGCAAGATTCCAACTTATTGTTTAAAGGAAACATTGGTTATGTGACTTCTTAGTGCAAGTGGCCTATTGGCCAAGGTCTTTCTTTTTTTTTGTTTTTTTGTCATGTTTATGGACTGAGACTGACTGGACTGAGTTGAGGTCAATAAAATAGTAATAATAATAATAATAATAGTAGTAGTAGTAGTAGTAGTAACAAGCTATTTCCAATTACATTAACATCAAAAGGTTTATAAAAATATACGTCAAGCAGCGATGTATTTTGGGTCTTAACCAATTTTTATTTTTTGTGCATTATTGTGCAAGAACTATTGTTTTTCTTAACCACTTTAGGTTTTCTTTTGACCATTTTTTAGAGATGAGGTTTAAGGTTGCTTAAGATTATCAATCAATGGATCAATTCTGCCCAGCACAAGAATAATTTAGAATGTAGGCTCTACCATGCATGCAAGTAGTAACTTTGTCACTTTGAAGTTTAGTGTTTTTCTTAATGGTCTTGCAATAGAAGTTTAACTCTGTTGAAAATTAACTCTGTTGAACTGCTTTTACTAAAATAACATTTCACTGACTTATCTAACTGACTTCTCCAGCTTCACGGCCATCCTTATCCAGCCCATAAAATCTTCATGCTTATCAGGTTCAACTGCCATTCTCTTTGGTGTAGAAAATGAACTTAGGTTTTGTTGTTGTTTCATAGTGAAACAAAAGAACAAAGCCAGCAAAAGAAGCATGAATCAATCAGCACAGTAGTCAAAATGTACACTCCAGTCTCTCTCGGAATTGCATCTGGAATGCCTGACACAGAACCTACTCATAAGCACTCAGTCTGAAGTAACAGTCATTTTTTCCTTGATCTATTTCAGTTGACATGCTTGGTGCTTACTCAATGGATGGAAATATGTATATGGTGTTTGAGTAGTAAGTAACAACATTTAATATTTATTATTTTAAACTTAAATTTAGTAGTTAATGATATCTTTCATCACTTTCTGTATTGTACATGCTACTATTAATAACAGCAATTTGTACCATGGGATTATGAGGATAATAATATTGTGATATGATAACTTAGTGATCATGTGTAATTAGAGGATTAACATGCAATGAAATGATGTCCTTGGTGCTGTGTGCTTTGTGTGCTTTTGAATTCTTGTTGTTCACAGGGTGCAGAGAAAATTGGTTTTACGGCTTGCCATTTGGGCAAGTTGTTGCTAGTGTGTGCTAGCCCAAGAGTCTTTTAAGTAGCTCAAGAAAATTTTTGATGCGCAGCATTGATTACAGTTCTTCTGTAATTTGAATTTCCCAAACAACTACACTTGCAGTTTCATCCACTAGCCCCGGGCTATTGGACACAACTTTCTTTGCACGCTGTGTTCATGTACGCGATCATTCTTGTGCAGCTCCTACTAGCGTTGATTTACCTTCCCACCTCTCCCATGGTGGTCTATTGTAACTTTTATTACATTTTGTCTGATCAATAAATTGAACCTTTCTCTAAACATCAGTCTCTGTACTTGTAGTTGATGTTATCTTAAAGAAAAAAGTGAGAGTTGCAAACTGTGTCTGATTACTACGAAGTTAAAGTGTATAGAGCAATCACCTCAGTGACTATCACGAGTACAACACATAATAACAAAACTGAAATATTATGAAAACCAATACCTTTGCAGAGCTCCAAGCTGCCAAAACGTTAATTGCCACCCATGAGTAGAAACAATTTTAGGGACCAACATTGCAGCAGAAGTCACCAATTAGCAACTTGTACAGCCAAAGCACTTGACTCAAAATCACGTTTTTCCAATCTTTATTCTGCTCTATAGCTTGGATGGTGCTGACCTTTGTTTTGAAATTGTTAACCGTGTCAATGCTGGATTTGTTTACAGTGAAGCTGTGGCAAGGTATGTAATTAAAGGAAAATAGTATTTTACTTAATAATTACTTTTGACTGATGTTACATACATTTGTTTGGTGTAGCAATCAGCTCATACGAAGTAAGTAATTCAGGGTCATGGGAAATCATGGTCATGATTTTCTGGACCTGGAAAATTTTGTTTTCGTGAAATCCCGTGAAAATCACCAAAAAAAGCAAAATACTGTGAAATTCGCCAGAAATCTTATCAAAATTAATACATGTTGATACAACATTTTTTAAACTTATCTTCGCTATTGGGGCTGTTTAATTGCCGTAATCTTGCAAATTTATCTTGAAACTTCATCGAAACATAGAGCGAACAACGTCCCAAAACTACCAGGCGTAAATTATGTGAAAAACTGGGCACTAGTCATGATGTTAAAAGCTTTGCCATTGGCTCATTTCTCGAGCACTTTGTTGTTAAAATAGCAAATGATTAGATCTTTTAAAAAACATTAAACGGGCTCGTCAAATCAGCACAAAATTGATTGATTTCTAGCTAAATTTACCCAAAAAGTTCCCACGAAATCGGCTGTTTTTTACCAACTGTTTTTCAGGGAGGCAAGCCCTGAAAATTTCTGCAAAATTCTCGTGAAATCAGCCAATTTTTCTGCGAATCTGTCTCTGAAAATCCTGCGAAATTCGACTTTTTTTCTGCAACCTATCAGAAGCCCTGACGTTATTTTAAAAAAGTTTTGAATTTGAAGGCTATACTGAGGGTCATGGAAAACTGAAAAGAGGCATTGAAACAGTTTTGAAAAGTCATATAATTTAAGGGTATCAAAAAAGTATAAACCATGTTATTGTTGTTTTAAAAGTGGTATCCATATATTTTTGCAGCCATTACCTCAGACAAGTTCTTGAGGCTCTGTCGTTTTGTCATGAAAACAGAATTATTCATCGTGACCTCAAGGTAAAGTTTCACCCGACATAATTAGTTAACCTTCGTCTCTAAGGCCCAATTAATAATTAATTGGGCCTTAGAAATAATTATTATTTCCTAATGACATCAGCAAATCATCAAGAGAAATGTTAAATACCAAATGCAAATATGGCGGACCTGTTGGCTGACCATGCTCCAGGGTTTTCACTAAGAATTCTAGTAGCAGGAGAAAGGAATAATCTGAAAGAGGCTCCATGTCTGAATAGAAAAATAGTCATAGACTGTCGCACGTTAGCCGGAGAATTCTGTGTAGTAAACAGAGAATTCTCCGTAGCTAATTAGCACTCTGTTGCTCTACCTGCAGTTGTTCAAAAGCAAGGCTAGGGAGGCCTATTAGCAATTTAGTTGATCGATAAGGTTTTCTTTTACTACATTGACTTATCCAAAGTCCTTTGACAAGGCAAATACTGGATTTGTGCAAGTCGAAACAGTGAAGAAAATGGAATTCTGTTTTTATATAAGGAGGCATTAGATGCTTGTTGACCACTAATAGTGTTTATGGCTAAACTGCTCTTAGCACTCATTCTGTAGCCACCATGATTATTTTTTGTCTTGTGTTGTGGTAATGAACTGAGCCAAAGGAATCTCTAATTGATGGAGTACATCAAAATAAAAATAAAAAATATTATATACAATGAAAGAAATGTTTAAATTTTCCTCATTACAGCCTCATAACATTCTCTTAGCAAGTAAGGAGAATTCAGCACCAATCAAAATTGCTGACTTTGGCATTGCCACTGAAATTGGAGAGGAAGGCTATGTGACAAGTGGTAAGAAAAATTGAATGAAATTACTATTATTAGCAGAAGTGCAACTTCACATATGGTTTTCACCAATATTGCAGAAGGAAAATCATGTTCAGACTATGAATTCAGCAGATCAAGCATTCTTTTGCAAGACCACCTTCTGGGCAACTCGAGTGCCAAAATGTTTCTAAAAAATTAATATTTTGTGTATGAAAGTAATTATTAGGGTTTTCTTGCACTTAAACAATTTTAGGCCGATGAAATTGTAGGGATGTTTGTTGTTGTTTTTGTTAATGAGGATATTCATGCAATTCTCTGAAGCTTCACAGCAATCTAAATAAAATCACAACTGTTCAGCACAATACAGCCAACTAGAGTGTTATACACAACTAGTGAAACATTACAACAACAGTCCTATTCAGGACAACATTCACCCGGACTATCATACTCAACCTACTTATGAAATGACACCTGGTTAAGTGGTCATATTCACATTTTAAGCTCAATATGCATGACAACCATTCTGGTCTGGTCTCATCTTGGAGTTTGCTGGATTTAACATTCATTTACTTATCTCTTGTCTTAGGCCGAATAGGAACCCCACATTTCATGTCGCCAGAAGTTGTTAACAGGGAACAGTATGGAAAACCTGCGGATGTCTGGGGATGTGGTTAGTACTTTCTGTTTTGATATTTTTGTTATATGTACATGTATGTGAAAGTCCTTGAATTTCCAAGGAAGTCCACAACATGGCCTTGAATTTCTTTAAGGTCCCAGAAAAATCCTTGAATTTTTCCCAGTCTTATTTGATTTGTGGTTGAGTATTCCTGATTTTTTCTGAATTTCTGCTAGACTTCCATTCCACACACAAGGCAACAAGCAGCTGTATGTACATATATGTGCATACATAGATAATTTCCATACCCATGTGCATGAACTATTTCATGTCATGACATTGTTGGCGGCTCTGTTTGTGAGAAATTATGCCCCGAAAGTAGGCTTTTAATCTAAATGGTTGTCCAAGTAGAAACAAAACTGGTCCTTGAAAACTCCTGGTAAAAAGATCAAATTTCCTGTGCTATTGATATAAATACATGTACCAGTTAAATAAATAATTGCACTGATGATGCATTCCTTTTCAAGAGTGTTATAAACAACTACAGTTATATGATGTAAACTGATGTGGTGTTCCCTTTTAGGTGTGATACTGTTCATTCTTCTTAGTGGTTCATTCCCTTTCCATGGCACCGGGGAAAAAATATATGAATCTATCCGAAAAGGGATTCCTACGGTGAGTAACTTGTTGCTACCATGTCTTTAATACAGTACAGTCTGCTAGATTTGACTTTATGAGGGCATGTGAGATTGTCAGAGTACAGTAAGCCCAGGGTCAAACCTCAGACCTCACATGTGACAAACCTACTGACAATGAGCAAAATCAAATCTAACCATCATACTGTAGACAGTACCATAGTACTGTAGATTTTACCCAGGATCTCTTGGACTCAATACATTGCCAGTCTTCTGGATTTTTGGAAACATAGTTTTCCCTGTTTGGGTTTCTCTTTTTCCTATCAAGTTGTTTTTGTTATTTTGTATTTGAAACATGATGAGCTTTAGTAACCGGGGGGAAATATGCAGTGTAAGGGATTCAAGGTCTGAGAATTGTCTTCCTGAGTGGTCAAAAAATTATTCTTGATGATTAATGGCAGTTGTGATGGTCACACTTTTAGCCAGGAAATGATAAATTGACATCAAGCTCCAATCTCCAGCTAACAGTTGACAAAGACGTCCAAAAAATCACTATTTTTTTTTCTCCAACTGGGTATCCACAGGCACCCAACTGGTGAAAACCGTGGTGACTGTTACAGTATTAACAAGTGCAAAGGCTGATTCTCACTTCGTTATTAATATTGTGATTTCTACAGATGAGAGCTAGAATCTGGGACAACATATCTGATGAAGCAAAGGACCTAGTGAAGAAGATGCTAGCTAATGACCAGAATGAACGACTGACGGCGCATGAAGCCCTGGACCATCCATGGCTAAGGGTACAAAGATAACTTGAACAGTAAAATAATATAGTTAAAGGGGTGTCTGAAAAAATGTGACCTGTAATAAACTTTTGAATCTCCTTCCAAATTGCCGTCTGTTTGCTTCTAAACCGAAGGGAAAATGTAACAGGTATCCTTTTTATTATGGTTTCCTCACACCCCTTCAATTATTGGTGAAACAAAATCATGTACAATTCTTTTTGTTTCAGCCCTGAAACAAGTTGCTCTGCTTGACTTGGCACATTGTTATGCAAAAGTAATATGCTATTTCTTGCCATCACTTTTAAGGCCTCTGATAGGATAACTACCCGGTACATATAATTTACATGAGCGTGTGCAAAACTGTGGTTACTTTGCAACAATTTACATAGATGTTTTAGGAATTATTCCCAGTTGTGATTTCCTTGCTGAGTCCCTCGTCAAGTGACTTAAAAAAATAATGGGTATATTAACCTGACCAGCTATAAAATTTTTTTGACTATATATTGTTTGCATAGAATCGAGAAGTTCCTCAAAGAATTCACCTTCAAGATTCAGTTGATGAAATGAAGAAGTTTAATGCCAGAAGAAAATTAAAGGTACATGTAATGTGCAGTTCTGTGATAAAATCAACAAGGGCATGGCTAGAGGGCATCCTAGGGTACTTCAAACAGCCTTCCCCATCCTCCCCCCCCCCCCCCCCCTGCTACTACTACTAACATTATGGGTGAAGAAGATAGGGGGTGGGGGAACCCAGAAGAATAGGAGGCACAAGAGGAAAGGGCAGAAGGTGTGAGTTCTAAAAGGCTGGGAAGTGGGAGAAATAGAAGGAAATGGTGAATACTTTGCAATCAAAAAGGGGCTTAAATGAGGAAGATAGGAAAAAAAGGACAGGAACCGGGAATGCAAGCTATGGAAGGCAGGAGGCTTGGACCCTCCTGTCTGCCCCCACCCCCTCCATACCATCACCACCACTATTGTTAAGAAAAAAGGTATTGTGTGGAAAAAAAAAATAATAAGGTCATTATGGTTAAAAGGGAATAATGCTGTGCTCATTAGGTTAGTTGACATCGTTACAAAATAATCACAGATAATGGAGAGTTGAGGTGGGCGAGGGACTTCCTCCTACATTGTATATCCCAATTACATACTGGTATAGGATCCCCAACAAAGCTTCCATATGTTCCAGCCAGATAGGAATTTTGATGTATTTACATGTGCATACATGTTTGAATAGGTTAGTTGACAGCTTTACAAAACATTCAGAGGTAATCAAGAGTTGAGGGGGGAGGGGGGAGGGGCTTGCTCTCATATCACATTGACATTCTGTAGTAAGATCGCTCTAGTTGAAAAATCCTTTCTAAGTGCGATGCTGATGGGCAAGGTTTCACACATTTCATTATTCTTGATTTTATTCAGAGGGGAGGATTTGGTTTTTACTGTTTATTACATGAGTGTGATTTTTCTTTCATTTTAGGGAGCAATTTTGGCTGCTGTTGCAAGCAGAAAATTTCCAAGTAAGATTGAAAAATCTAAGAGTTTTTAGGTCTATTGAACAATAGCATAACACAGCTGCAAATAATTTTTCGAAAGGACAGGTGTCTGGCAAAGGCATCTTTTTGGTGCCGGACTTAACAAAAAATGCAATCAAAGATGCATAACGCATTTTGAACAAAGATTGTGAATAAAAGACACAAGACTGTAGACTGATTGCTTTCACATATTCACTGCGTCAAGGTAATTTTGTTAGTACAACAATCCACATGTGTTCAAGATAGATTTCACCATATTCAAAGTGATAATCTTGAGTACTGACTTTGTCTGGATATCTTGTCTGACCACAGTTAAGATTTTGTTAGGCCAATTTTAGTCAGACATTTTCTGATGACCTACTGTTATTATTGCACCTCTGGTGTGATGGTCTGTAAGACAGTTATAATACAGTTGCTCTTTTTGTTTGTTTTTGTTTTTTTTTTACAATTTAGTGGCTATCATTTGAAATAAAATAATTGACAGTGGGGATTTTAAAAATACCATTTCTTTTTCTTCTCTTTGTTTTAGTGGCTAATGGAGATGTCATTGGGGCTCAGGTATTTCATTATTCATATTTACATGTTCATCTGTTTACCCTTAGACCCAAGAGTGACCATCATCAACTTTCTTCTTTCATTGCCATTACATAATCAAGTGATAAAGCTGTAAGAATTGACAGAAAGATCAACTAAGCAAAAATGATCTGATCTTTTAACAAATTCTCTCAACTTATTCTTTAAGAAATGTACGGTGACTCAGTAGGGCGAATTCGTATGTGGATATTGGGGGTTAAAGGTTTAACCTCATCATCAGATGAGCGTGGAGAGAGGGGGCGGGGTGGCGGTGTAACTGAGAGGCTGTGGGGCCAAGAACTGCAGCCCCAGTCCAATGCGTAACCTTGACAACCCTGAGAGGTATCCACCCAGGCATCGTCACACTGCTAGCAGTGGAACCTAGCCTACTTACCATACAATTACCAAAGGTAGGGTAGGGTAGGGAACAAAGACGCTAGAAACACGAGCAACCAGGTCAACGTTAACGTAATGGCGAGCCTGCGTAGCGAGCGTTTCCGTTTGGTTTCGGAGCAAAGAAAGACCGGGGAACGGGATTCTCGGTTTTGGCTGCGCGAGAAATGAAACAAGAGCTCTTTCACTTACGCCATTTTTCGCGCGGCCTTTGACTCTCGTTCCTCGTTCTGTGCTCCTTAACCGCACAGAAACGCTTGCTACGCAGGCTACGTAATGGCCTGACGTCAACGACCCTTCGGCCTCTGCGAAGCAATTAGTGTAGACTACGAGTAGTCCCCCATTTTTCCTCAGGGATAGTAGAGCGAGCGAAACGCGAGCGCGCGTGAAAATTACCCCACGCGAGTCGTCTTTTCTCGCGTGGGGTAATTTTCACGCGCGCTCGCGTTTCGCTCGCTCTACTATCCCTGAGGAAAAATGGGGGACTACTCGTAGTCTAAAATTAGTGTGGCCCAGTTTTCATCATCATACGTTTCTGGGAAACTTTCCACCTACCCCTCCCCTAAGCCAACATTAACACTTACTTCTCACTTAGGGCAAAATGTTGGCTTAAGGGAGGGGTAGGTGGGAAGTTTCCCAGAAACACATAATGATCTGATGAGGATCCGATGATTCTGGCGCGAAAGACTTCTGGCCAGTCTCTGGCTCTTGCTGACATCAAGTTTGATCACCATGTCGTTAGCGCTAACAACGTTCCTCTTAAAATTCTCTCTTTTCCTAGGATGATGTTTTTGAATACGAAGATGATGATCTTACCGCATCAGGTACGGATTCAAGAATTTTTCTCCCCATTCTGTGATAAAAAAACTCTTTTGAAGCATTTCATTTATCTTGTAGGGTGATAAAATGTTGGGTCAAAAGGGACTATATTAGACTAAGAATGGTCCCTTATGTTTCTCTGTGGTAGTAGAGCAAGGGAAGTGCTCGAGATAGCGTGAAAGTTAGTACCCGCGAGGAAGCTGATACGCGTGTCACCTTCCTCGCGAGTGAAAATTTTACTCGCGCTCGCGTAGTTCACTCTCTGTGCAATCCCTCGGGAAGATGATGGACTACTTGTAGTCTAGATCATTGAAGTACTTTATGTTTCAAGTTACATGTAACTATAGAGTGTGACCTGTAACGTAACGTGGGTTTCACGCAAGGCGAGACCGTTAACATTAATTGCAGTGCTTCTATAGGTGGATTCATCGTGACTTCGTTGCTTACTATTTTCCTCATTAACGTGCGAGAAGATGTAGCCGTATACCGTAAAATTCCGAAAATAAGCCCCTCCATGTATACGCCCCTCCAAATATAAGCCCCCCAAACTCGTAACGCAAAAAACCCTCCGTTAAATCGCCCCTCCCAATATAAGCCCCCCGGGGGGCTTGTACTTGGAATTTGCTCTCGAATACAAAGTTAAACAAAGCAAAAATGGTAAATTTCCTTCCCATTACAAGCTAGCCCAATCGATTTTGAAACGCAAATTTCCCTCCTTACATAAACCCCTCCGAATATAAGCCCCTCCAAAAAAAAGGCCCTCAAAAAGGGCCTTTGAAAAATATAAGCCCCGGGGCTTATTTTCGGAATTTTACGGTATACCAATGAGGTTCAAAAATTAAAAGAGCTCTTTGATGTATACAGTTTGCGAAAGTTTCAGCTCTTTGCAATCAGTAACAAAGCAAATAGCAGCAGTTAAAAACTACTATAAAAATTACTGGGTGGCAAAACGTTAATGAGCTCATACATCCTTTGTCAAGGAGAATTTCTCCGAAACTATCTGGTATATCGGGCTCAAATTTCAGAGCTATCTGAAATTGTTATGCCCTTTCAATATTCAAGAAATTTTATTTTATTAGCTTCATCAGATAATGATAAGCCTATGCTAATGAGGCAAAAATGTAAACAAGGATTCGCCTATAGAGACGAACTGTTCTGCTTTTTGTTTTCTTCAGGAGCTATAGGTCAGCTCCTTGACTCACTAGAAGAGATTCAAGTCCTTACCGGGGCTAGCGATGCCGACGTCAACTTTTTACAGAACTTTTTCGAGCATCAAACCCTACAGGCATTACTGGAGGTGAGAAGCGTGGCTGATTTCTGTGTAGAAGTTTTAACTACAACTTAGTAAGTTGACAGCGATTTTGAGGTCTATATTAAAGCTATCCTAAGAGATCCTTCGGAGTTTTTGGCGTGTTTCATGGGAAGCAACGTATACAGACCAAGGAAATTGTTTGCAAATGACACATGCAATTTGAAGCCGTCCTGAATCGATATCGAATCCTAATAGTCACTCACATAACCAGAACAGTTTCTTTAAACATGTTTGAATGTTATTTGAATGCACGAAAATTTCGAAATAGTTATTTGGTTGTTGGATAAAAAAAAACAGTGTTTAGTACATTTTTTAAAATTTTTTTATAACGTTTTTTCTTTTTTCAAAAATTGAGTAGCAGTGAAAAAGTGTGAAATATTTTAAAGTTTTACTCTCTCCTTTTAGAGATTTGTTTTTAATGATGAACAGACAACCAGCGCAAGCTGTTTTTCTTCTTTTACCCCTTAATGAGGTCACACTCATTCCGGATTGCTTCCTAATCATATTAAATGAAATTGCTTTTTAACATGCCAGTGGCAAATAGAACACAAATATAACTGGCCAGCAAAGTAATTTTTAAATATTTCATTTTCGTTCGCAGAACCAGTAATTTGAGGTTTTAATTTCACGATTCGCTTCTTCTGAATTTATAGATAAAAGATATTGATGTCACTTGTTTTCTGTTTTATATGTTTATGAAGAATTAAAGGCTCTGTAACTCGTTGCACAGAAAACCGTGGCGTGTGCTCTTTACAACTTGGGTTGAGTCTTCAAATAGTATTTCATCAGTTCTAGATTGGCGGTTTTTAGTGATATTCAAATGTTTTATTCCAGTGGTTAATTATTGATTTCTCTTGTCATATTATATCAGTGTAAGTTGAGGCAATATCGTAGGTGAGCTTGTTACTTCGACTTTCTTTCCGTAATGCATCAGGTTTATGACAGAAGTCAAGAATGGACTGATGAGAACAGCACTTGTCCGCTATCATCCTCGCCCAGCGCCGTACAAGACGCCAAAGAGGTAATTACTTTGCGAATTTTTGTATTTTTCAGAATTTATACACAAGCGTTCCTTTTAAAAACTTTTCAACGACACTCAAAAAAGGTCTTTTTTGACAGTGTCTTCTTCAAATTTATCATAGTAGAGTATAGTTTGTTTGTAACGTACTTTTTTGAAAGGCTCAAGCTATTTCCTGTAGTTTTGTAAGCGGGAAGCACACCATTCTAAGCTTGATAATGTTTGTTTATAGTTTGTGCGTATGAAGAAAAACACAGCGCACGGTTATTTACCTCTCCGGTGTTTTAGTGTCGGTTGTTGATGTTGTGATCATTGACATACGATGGCTCGTCTTTAATGTCTTTTCTCGAAAAGAGTCGTGAATGTATTTGCTCGCATTCTATTTAACAACTAAAGCGATAACTGAAAACAGCATGTTTTTTGTTCTCTTGAAACTATACTTATTCAAAATTCTTCGTACTTCGCTGAGAGTTAACTGCAAACTTTTTATTTGGAGATATTAACATTCGTGAAGGCATTGTTTCCAGTTAAGTGATTGTTCCATCTGAAAACTTCTCTCAATTATTGTTTTCTCGATTCTCATTCTTGTGAGTTTACCGATAAAAGCTGTATTGATTTGTTACAAGAACTCTTTCCCCAGGCAAATTATCAAGCCAAGCTGAGTTTCTTGTTGGTTTTATAAAGCTCTCTGCCGTTTCAATGTGTGATAAAATAGTGTAAAGTCAGCATATAAATCTGCTTAACGAGAATCTTTTTAAGTAACTTAGCTAGAGAGATTTGGTTGTTGTACAATAATCGTACACTGTTTGAAATCCTCTCTTTATACAACCTGCCCACTATACTTGTCAAATTCGCTGTTGAGCGCCGGACAAACAGCGGGGAAAACAGTCAGCGGAGCGGGGTGCTCTAACCGCACCCGACCAGCTACGTTTGGTATGACTCACCCCCACGGGTTTCTTATGGTTTTGAATAGGAGGGCTACTGAGTTTGACACCCAGGCAAAGAATTGGCAAGGCCCTCCGGGCAGGGGGGATCTGGGGGCATGCTCCCCCCGAAAATTTTGAAATTCCATAGTCGCAGAGATAACTGTAGTCTAAAACTCGAGCATAAATTGACAACAAATACTCGAAGGGGGTGGAGGGGGTGCGGGGGGTATTTGCACTCATCATATCTCAATAGATAGCATGGGACCCCCGTTTTTTATTTCATTTCTGCAGCCTACGTGTACTGAATTTCACATAGGAAAATTTTGACAAAAATCTTAGTGTAGCTTCCATTTCAGATGAATGACCTTAACCCTTTAAGCCCCAATATCCAGAAGCAAATTCTCCAAACTGATCTCTATACATTGCTTTAAAGAATAAGTTGAGAGAATTTGAGAAAAGATCAAAGCATTTTCTCTCAGGTGATCATTTTATTAATTCTCATAACCTAATCTCTTGACATTGTATGGATATCGTTAGGAGAAAATTGATGTTGGTCACTATTGGGACTTAAAGGGGTTAATAAGAGTTTGACCGTAGTAACGTGAATTGATGAAGCAAATCCAAAGTAATTAATTATGCGTAGCATGTACAGACTTTCAGTTCACCTTGTCATGGAACGATCTTCTCTGGTTTTCTTTTTCCTTTTTTATAACTTTCTTCTTTCTTCTTTCTTCGTTGTTAACTTTGTTAAGATGTTGAATATTATGTTTTTTCCTTCTTTTTTCAGGTTATTGACCTGATCGAATACAAAGCAGAAGACGATGACGATTGTTACGAGCTACAAAACATCTTGATGGACCCACATGTCGCGGTAAGTCATTTAAAAGTCCAGATTAATAGTAATGTTTTATGACCTTAATCAGCCGATTTGGCGGGGATAGCACAACGGCTTGCGTCAAGAATTACTGTGGGCCGACTGAAACTGTCCTTGTCCACGCACAAATCATTGCGCCGAAAGCTTCCACCTATTCTCCCTTATAGAGTTGAGAGCTGTAGCACCGACGACGGCGACAAAACGAGAAAGTCAAAAAAGCAATGCGTTTAAATGTAAATGTAAATGTCGCGATTGAGAGGACAAACATACATGTTCTCTTTACATAGCTTTTTGCAGTGGGCTCGGACATCAGCATACTAAAGGCGCCGATGGCAGCCGCTATCAGTCCATTTATGAGCCCACTGAACCCTCCCAACCCATGATGAGTGATGATGTAAGTGATGAAGATAGACCACAACACCGGGAACTACGTCCCCTACTCTTTTCGAATAGTGTGTGGGTTCTTTAACGTCCCACAGAGTTATATGTGAACAAGGTTTGTGAGACGGGACCTCCGGTTTATCGTCCTTGTCCGAGAAGACTTGAAAGTCTAATCATTTGCAGATGTCATTACAAAGACAGCACTTTCTTCGCAGTTATTTTTAAGACCCTGAGTGTTGGTCCGGCCAGGATTCGAACTCGCGACCTCCCGCTCAGCAGACCGGCGCTCTCCCAACTGAGCTAACCGGGCGGCGTTTATTAGAGAGCAAGATTAGAACTTTGCACGGGCAGCACACCTTTTTGTACATTCCTTGCCGACACTGCACGACTACGACGTAAAAATGCCTAATTTTACGTTTTATGGAAAACATAAACAAGTGACGATGAATATTTCGTTCTTTTTCTAAACTTCATTGCGATTCCCAAGAAATCAACAAATCAAGAGATATTAACTTACAGTTGACATTTTCAGCGAATTCATTTTAAAAGTGACGTTTTTGCTGCCTTCGCCGTCGTAGATGCTAAATCTTCCTTCTGGAGTGGGGAATACGCCTACATTGCAACGGATCATTTGACCACCTACCCCTCCCCTTAAGTCACAATCCTGCAATTGAATCCACTTTTTGAGTTTTCATTTTCTCCCTTTAGGCATTACTTGAAGCACATGATGAAGTCCTGAAGAATTCTTCCGGTGATGGAGTGAATCCATATCAATCGGAAGGGAGCCCCGGCTATAACAATAGACAGATGGAAGACTCGGTCGGAGACCGGCCGGAAAAACTAACCCGGGTGCGGCTGGTACAGTTCCACAAACATCCAAATGAACCGATGGTAAGTTTTCTCTGTAAGTTGTATGTGTGTGTTATAAACCGAACAGGCGAACTGTGTGGTCCATTTTTAATCACGAAAACCATTCTTCCTGATTTGACTTCTTGAGATTTATTTCATTCTTCAGTAAATATGTGCGTTATTGACCGAGCGTGAGGTCAAGATGGCTGGATATTGATTGGCCAAGTTCTTTTTTGCCTTTTTATTGACCAAGACAAAGGCGAGGTCGATAACCGTGACAACGCCAAAAAAACTACCAAGCTTGGTCATTAAAGGATTTATTGTATGCCCCAAAAGATAACTTGTTCTTGCGGGACCAACGCGGGAAATCCCGAGCGGGTAAGATGAGCCTCTCTTACCCGCTCGGGTAGCCAATGGGAAAACAGGGCTCGCTTCATCTTGCCCGCTTGCCGATTCCGCCATGTACAGTCGACTCCCGATAACTCGAGCCCTCTAGGGAAATCGAAAAAAGTTCCAGTTATCGGGATTTCGAAGTAAATAACCGGGAATAAGGATATAAGCGAAACGGATGGGGAGGAAATGCAAGTATCATCCACACTTCTCTTCAAGGGCAGCAAGAGACATAGATTGATATTTTGAAAAAGTAATAAAGCAACAAAGCTTGATTAAAATGGGCCATTTCGGAATTGCGTAAGGAACTGGGGCGAGTTTCAAATTCAAGCTAATCGATAAACAGACACCACCATATAAAAGGTCAGGTTAAGATTGGATTTTTGAACAAGTTTGGTGCTTTAAGGTTGAACAGGGGTCAACAGTAAATGCATGAAAGAAATCCAGAGGAAATCGATTTTGGTTCGAGTTATCGAGAGTCAACTGTATTAAAAAAGGTATCAATAACTTTTGCTTTTTTTCATAATGCTTAAAATTGATCGGCATAAAAATAGCAACTGTTGACTTATGACGTAGGATTTTCTAATTTTGGTTTAATGATTGATTATTTTTTTTAATATTTTTATTCATTGATTTTGCTCAAGTATTTTTACTTATTTTTTTCTCCAGGGTATTACTCTAAAACTGAACGAAGAAGGACGCTGTATCGTTGCGAGAATTATGCACGGTGGCATGATTCACAGACAAGGTTTGTATTTTCTAAAACTAAAATAAAGCACACGAAATTTTAGTCACCGAAGTCTTCTTTACATCGGTTTACTAGGATGCTTTGTCGCGTTCATGGAAAGGCTAAGGTAGATAGCTAGAACCATTACCAAGGGCTGTGCACTTACACATGATCTGGGAACATTGTTAGTCGATGAAATAGTTAGAAATGGTGGCGACATATATACCGGATACTTTCCCGGTAAATTTGCGGATGTGGCAAACGCTTTTAAAGTAACTAGAGCCACTGTCATAAACTTAGGGTAGCGTCTACATTAATGTGCGGAACGCGGAGCCCACAACCCAGAGCGATCAATTCGCACACTGGGCGTTTTTACCGCGTTTTCACGGACCGGTTCATTTTTGTTTACATGTTGTTACAGTTGTTCATTATTTGAAATCATTCTCTCACAAGAAGAGGCTTTTTCAATTTTATTTGGAGTGAGGGCAATTCTCACATACGGAGGGGATGTTTTTTCGGAATTTTACGTGTGTTACAAATCATATCTACTTGATTACATTGTCTTCTTCCGTTGAATCGCGCTTTAGGTTATCCGCTATTGCGCTTGCGCAGTAAGTATTCTGGGGGGCAACCTTTCAATTTCTGAGCGGATGTTTTTTATCATGGTGAAAAACACATAACCGAGGGGCATGTCATGGGAAAAGTCTAAAGATGATTTCTGCTTTAGGTATTAGAGTACCTAGAAATAAAGAATAATTTATAAATCGACTCCCACAATTGTACTGTATGCTTTTCGTATAAGTAATCATTTGTGGCCGAAGTGCCCCTTGCCTTAAACTAATGAGTAAGGAAAATAACGATCTGGGTGACGCCAGATCTAGTGGCAAGTGTCACTTATAATTTTTTACGGGGTGCAGGCTGCCCTCGGGTGACCCGCTTACTTCTGCGGGATGCCCGGGTTGTAGCGGCCTCCGCATCAAAACCCCACTACTAACGTAAAAGATCGATAAAGGGATATTCCTTCATTCCTCCCTTTTGCTTTCGTTCCAACTCTCTCGCCGAACTCGCGCGAAAACGCTTGTTACGCAGGCTTAAGGAATTTGATAGCCTTCTTGTCAGCTGGCACGAGCGTTTATACTGTTTTTGACCTGGCGCGTTATTGCCTTCGGCGAGAAAGTATGTGTACGGTTAACGTCCACTTTTGAGTGAGCGATACATCGATACATCATTGCAGTCGATTGTCAATACCGACACAACGCGATACCAGTCGATTCGCCTTAACTTATTAACTTGTTATTGCTGGAAGCTTAACTTCCGTTGTCTTGTTTTAGGAACTCTGCATCCTAGTGACGAGATTAGAGAAATCAATGGAATTAACGTGGCAGATAAGTCAGTGGAGAATCTTCAAGCCATTCTGGTGAGTGATGCCTAATGAAACAACGTAGTCAGTACTACAATAAAAACCCGCGTATAAGAACCTAGTGATTTAAGAACCTACAGGCTGAAATTTTGCATTTTAGTACCCATAGAAGAACCTGTTCAGCCTGACAAAGAAAAATAGGTTCTTATATAAAAAAAACACTCCAGATTTGATGTTCAAATTCTGGATTTTAATTGTGAAAATTTTTGTAGTGTACTGCTTTTTAGTCTTACCAATAAAATATTATTCATTCCATATGTATTTTTCCTGTTGAAATTTGCATGGTGATCATACAACTGTAAATATGGTCCGGCCCATGATACAGGACTTGTTTCAACAACAAGGCTTGACATTTTTGTAAATGCTTTATAATTATAGCATATTAGTACTATTGCAGTTCCCCGAATGCTATCAGTATTATAACTTTTGCAAATAAGAACCTACTAAGAACCCAATCAGCCTGTTATTGGAAAAAATACCCCAAAATATAAGAACCTGTTCAGCCTGAACTCCAAAATTCTAGGTTCTTATACGCGGGTTTTTACTGTAGGCTAACAGTGATTTCGCCTCTTTGGAAACGAGACCGCATCTGCAGACGAAACGCGCCTCGCAAGTGTTTCTGGGATCGTTACTGGTGACGCGCTGGTCAGCTATTGGCCAATTTTTTCGTTGTCCCTGGTAACAGTTCCAGAAGTCTTTGCGAAAGTTAACTCGTCCCAGTTTAAAGTTTTCTTTTCGTATTGTCGTTGGCGGATCTAGGGGGAGGGTGCAGGGTGTGCGCACCCCCTCCCCCCCTCTGATATGACCTGGGGCTTTCTAATACAACTGGTATTCGTCACCAGTCAGTTATGCCATTCCTTAGGGGTACACCCCCTACTAAGAAAAATCCTGGATCCGCCCCTGATTTTAGTGTGTGCACAACCATGTTAACCAACAATAACAACCACAATAACTTAATGTACCCACGCAGTGAAATTAATCATTAGGCAAGTGGTGAAATATTTAAAAATTTAACAAATTAAAACTAATAACATCTCCATTGATAAGAATGATATTATTTATTGTGTCAATAACAGAATGCTTGATTCTGATTGGTTCTTGACAGCCCATATTTATAGCTTAATTTTGCTATTGTAACTCCAACACTGTCCAATTTGACCTGTCCAATTACCAGGAGCTTGTAATCAGACAAGTCAGATAGTGAAAGAACCAATAAAAATCAAGTAGCAAATGCTACTGGCCAATGAAATTTTTAAAACTCAAGAGCACATGATAACCAATCAAAATCAATGAAAAAATAGCGACCAGGTAAGCTGTCCAGCTTCAACTGGAAAAGAAAAATGGATGAAACTAACTGGTCCAGTGACTTTTATTTACATTAATAAATATTCCAAGACTGAGATTCTCGCATTTTGTTATTGACACAAATGATTAATAAAGGTAATAGGACTGAGTGGAGTCCAATTCGGTTTGTAATCATACGGGTTCTCAGCTGATAACTTTTAATGTTCCTATAACATACACATACAAGTATGCCAGTTTTGGTAGACGTAAGTACTTTACGTAACTCATTTTTATTCTTTTTATTATCTTTTTCCTTCACAGCGCGAGGCGAGCGGGAATGTCACTTTTAAGATTGTTCCCAGTTCAAGAAATATTAATCAAGTTTCCGAGGTAAGAGACATGTGCGGACTTCATTTTTGTTGCTAATACAAGCACATTTTGGTAGAACAAAGCTGTATAAAGGTTGGGTGTCTTGTTATTTGATTTGTGACAAATCCGCAACATTTTGGTGCCCGATTCATTTTGCCATTTGCAAGCGGAATTGTGAGTCCGAAATGAAAATGTTCCTATGTGGTTGGTTTGAATGAATGTTCTCGGATTTAGTAATGTATGTCTACATTTATAAATCCAGAAAAATCTCTCCGAGAGAAAACGCAGCCTGAGAATGATTTTTTGGAAATAAGCTTGCCTGTGTAGTTGGTGGGATCGTTAGAACGAGCAAAGTTATGGCAGAGGAGCTGCGAAGCCGTGTGGGGAATGGGGAAGAGACGTTTTGATGGTGGCTTTGCCGCCAAAACTCTCACACGCGCAAAAACAATTCCACCAGTTAAGCAGGCTAGGAATAGAGAGCTTTAGATTTGAGGAGCAGAACGAGTACGAGTACGAGATTTAACTTAAAGTTTTTGCGCGTGCTCTCAAAAATAAGACACCCCGGAAAGCTTCATTTTACTTTTTTTCACCAAAAAGGTTAGCACGGTTATTGACACTAAAGGATGTTAAGCCCTCTCCCGATAGCAAAATGATAAACTTCTTATATTTGATAACTTGTTCCTGCCACTACGACATTTCTCGCTAAAACTCGTAGTAGAGTGACGACGGCTATCACATTTTCCCGCCAAAATGACGCTGGTTCACGCGTCAGCAATACGCAGTATTGAGAAAGTCTCGTACTCATAGTCGCCCTCGTCTCAGAATCTGAAGCTCTCTAGAAAGCCTGTATTGTTTACGACAGTGTTCCATTTGCGGAAAGCGGTCTTCCCTTGAGTTAACGTCACCTATTGATACCAAGCTATTGTTTTTCGTTTCAGGTGTTTGTTAGGGCGCTGTTTGATTACGATCCCCGAGGGGATGACTTGATACCGTGTCAGCAGGCCGGCTTATCCTTCACCTGCGGGGAAATCATTCAGATTGTCAGTAAATCTGACCCATACTGGTGGCAGGCTATCAAGGAGGGTGATAATGAAGGCTTTGCGGGACTTGCTCCGTCGCCCGAACTACAAGAGTGGTGAGTATGTCTGGAACCAATTCCTTTTATTATTTTCTTAAATTTTTGGAAAATAAACGCAAAGGTCATTTTAATGTGAAAGGTTTGAACCCAGGAGTCTTTTTTAAAAGTAGGTTTAGTATGATCGTCCGGGTGAACGTAGTCCTGAATAGGACTGTTGTTGATGACAGTGACTGACGTTTCGACAACCTGTGTGGTAGTCATCTTCAGAGTCAAAGTGAGTTGTATCACGTCAGTGGATGGTATTATACTCTGGTTATTGATCTGATTGGTCAATTACGTCGCGATATTATTGGTCGTCTGTCAGTTAAGCCGTGATGTTATTGGCTATGAAGACTCGTAATCAGTAATTGGTGCGTTTCGATCCGTCTATTGTCACAGTTAAACAGTCGTCTGTTGTTAGTCAAATTGTCAGTTCTCCAGTCGTTCTCTCATAGTTAGTTTTGCTTGATCTCGTCAATAAGTCGTTTGTACGGCGCTGGTAACTGTTGGCTACGATTCAGTGTTGTTTTAATTTTAATTTTGAAAATATCAAGACCCTTTTGCGTTAACCATAGAATTTAGAAGAAATTAGCAGGGCGTGGACACCAAATGCTACAATAGTTGCGACTATTAATGTGTGGGTTGAGCAATGCTTTAAATCTTGATTGAAAAAAACTTGAGTGACTGTTAAGGATTTACCATGTGAACTCTTCTTTCTTTTTTCAGGCGAATTTCTTGTATAGCTGCTGAAAAAGCCAGAAGGCAAAATGGAGGTGAGTTGATTTTTGTTTTAGTTAGCTTGTCTTTCAAATTGTTCCCGATCTCTGACGCCGCTAACTACGGCAGTACTAATCCTCTCGTTTTTATGAGAATTTAGCTAAAATACAGCTGCTTTAATTCGCATCTCTGTCAATTTAAGTCCCCATTTAAAAGCAAGGAGCCAGTCTTGTGAAACCACTAAATATCAATTCTAAAACGGAAATGTCATAAGCTATAATTTAAGAATAATACAAGAATATTTTCAGCCTAAAATCGGCAGAAAAATAAGAATATTCAGCCTGGGCCGGAAAAACAACATTCTTATTAAAAAAAAAGAGTGTATTCATAACTTCGGTATATATTCTGTCGTCAGGTTTATTCAAATTCGGCAAGTTATCAACTTCCAGCCGCCTAGCTATCGACGTTTGGTTAGAAGCCAGAAAAAGTGCATTCGTCGTTAGCGCGGAAATATAATTTAATGGATTGTTGCTTTGTTCTCCATTTCAGCGACTTGTATGTGGTTCGGCAAGAAGAAGAAAAGTAGCCGGGATAAATACGTTGCTAAGCATAACGCAGGTCTGTACATACTGACACCAATGTGATTGAAGAGACTTCAAGTCGCGCTCCTTTAACCAAATATATCTTAAATGGACTATGTTATGGCGAGTCCACATCATATGAGAGAGTTTTGTTTCCCTTTTCTTTTTCAGTTTTTGATCAGCTTGATCTAGTGACCTATGAGGAAGTCATAAAGCTGGATTACTTTAAACGAAAAACGTTGGTTCTTCTTGGTAAGTTGGATGATTAAGGCCCCGCGAGGTTCAACTTAACGCGCGACCTTCCATATGTTGCCTCTATTTTATTTACGCGCGTAAAAATTACGTGCGCACGCACGTAAAAATATCACGACAGTGAAAATCCACCTTAAGGTTTACTTTTTCATTTCAGGTGCCCATGGTGTCGGGAGAAGACATATTAAAAACACGCTTATTAACAAATATCCAGAACGATTTTCATATCCAATACCTCGTAAGTATAAAATTCTCGTCAATTATGACTCCCTCATTTTGTCTCACAGTCCCAGGTCAAAGTTCGAACTTTGGTTGGTACCGAACTTAATGCTATTGAGCAAAATGTATTGTTCTAGCTCATTAGCGTAAGGTTTCCGCACATTGAAGTTTGACGTTTGACCCAGGCCTTACAAGCCCTAGCTTGCGAACTGCAGACGTATTTCCGGTCGTCGCTTCTCTTTCTCAGAAGCGGCGACCGGAAATAAGTCCGCGGTTCCAAGGCTATACAGGTCCCATCGACACGTATCTGTTTCTATTTGAAAACGAAGATTTTTCCTCTGGTTTAGTCTACCGTCCACACGTATCCGGTAAAAACGGTTACCGAAAACGCATCTTTCCAGAAACGATCTCCAGAGTGGAGATTTTTGAAAACGCCGGCTTCTCGTTTACGTGTGGACGAACGAAAATGGAGATTTTTGAATACGATGATGTCATACATCATATAGTACGGGAATTACGCTTGCTCCGTAAGGGGTGCTATCGAATTTCCATCGTTTTAGCGCTTTCGCGTTTTGAAACGATTCGAATACGCTATGTGCGGGCGCGAATATTTTTTGAAGACGTTTACAAAAATATCCGGATACGTGTACAAGGCCACAGACTGGCATATTAAACAGTCTTACACAGCGTAAAAACAATACTACAGGATGGCAATGCTCAGTGGCTTTTATAGCCATGCTATTTAAATAGTTACAGTTCAGGCTAAATAAGTGATAAGTGGCCAAAGTCAAAACTCGTCGTTTCTAAAGTCAAAACTCGTCGGTCATTTATAAAGTCGACGTAGACTTAAAACCATTTTGTGGGAAGTATCACTTGAACGTGCGGCAAAATGGCTTTCACTTAACAGTTTAAGCCCCAGCACCAACTTTTGGATTCTCCACGGTGAGATTCATACATTTTTTGTGGTACTGCGTGAGATAATAGAGAGCTTTAGATTCGAGGACGACTTTTAATTTTAAATTTTCGCGCCTATTGTCTTAAAATAGACATCCCGGAAAGCACCATTGTACTATTTTTCACCGCAAAAGTTAGTTCGCTTATTTCCGTTGAAGGACGTAAAGCCATCTCCCGCTCGCTAAATGATAAAATTCCTACTATTCGATAACTCATTTTCGCCACCACGACATTCTCGCTAAAACTCGTAGCAGAATGACGATGGCTGTCACATTTTCCCGCCAAAATGACGTTGGTTCGCGCGCGCGCTACTCAGTATTTGGGGAAATCTCGTTCTCGTAGTCATTCTCGTCTCTCTATTTTGCTCAATAAAAAAAAAACATTTCATCTTAGGTGATTATTCCATTCATTCTCATGACCTGTGGATTGTATCAGGCAGTGTTATTATTGGGAGAAATTGGATGTTGGTCACTATGAGGACTTAAAGGGGTAATTAAGTGGTCAATACTTATTGCATCGAGAAACATGTCATCAATCTTTGAAACTCTTTCTGTCAGATACTACTCGTGAGCCCAAGGATGGAGAGGAGGATGGCAAGAACTATTTCTTCGTTGCAGCGGAAGACATGCTAGCTGACATAGAAGCTAACAAGTATCTTGAGTACGGAACTCACCAAGGAGCCATGTATGGCACTAAACTAGACACCATAAGGGACAATCTCAATAAGGGGCTCACAGCCATACTCGACGTAGAACCCCAGGTAACGAGGCCCTTGATCTCTGTAGAATACCCCTTTCTAACACATCTACTTTTAAAAATACAATGGCAATTTCCACTTAAACCCTGTATTAGTTTCTTCCAATCAATCCCAACAAGGGTAGAAATCTGGGAACTTGGACTTGTATTGGAGGAGGCTGGTAAGAGTAGGCATATGTAGTTTTTTCTTGAGTGATATACAGTGAAAGAACGGATCCATCTGGTGTTTACAGTGAATTGGTTTGGTGCACTAGAGTCTTCTATACGCGTCGTGTCCTCGACGCTAGGTTCAGCGTTCGTTGCATTGTGCTCTAGTTTTTAGGATCATTAATTCAAGGTCCTGCCGCGCAGTTTTTCAGCGAATCAGAAGCGAAAACAAAACCAACTGTAAATTACTTTCTCGCGTTTTCCCGCGGTAAGCATTAAGTTCTCATTGGCTCCCTTCTGGCTCGTCCCCAGGTGCCACACTTGCGCGCAATAAAACCGTTCAAGGCGTAATGGAAAATATGTGTTTCCTTCCCAAGAGAACACGCGCGCCGCTTATTAAACAAGTAGTACCAAGCACGGTTGTCTGGATTCTCTATGTCTGCTGTAACTCGCCGAAGTAATTACCCTGGTTTAAGGCTTCCCACGTCAAACTTAATAGTGGCCTTTCTGTTTTGTTGTAGGCTTTAAAGGTTCTTCGCACCGCTGAATTCTCTCCGTACGTCGTATTTATTTCCGCTCCCTCCATTCTTGCAAACGACAGTATGAAGAGCCCATCCACACCGAACGGAGACGTCGCTGTAAGTATATAGGATAAATTACTTGAGTCAAGCTACTGCAGTTAATAAGGGAAGATAAATAACATAAATAACAACTTAGAAGTAAACATTCGTCTACCATTTCTTATGGAATTGGAATACCGGAGTACCCGGAGAAAAACGTCTCGAAACAAAGAGGAGAGCCAACAACAAACTCACCCCGCATATGACGACGACGTGTGGATTTGAACCCGGGTCACTTTGGTGGGAGGCGACTGCTCTCACTATTTTGCCATCCCTTGCTTCCAATATACAGAATGAAGAAAATAAAAGGATGGCTTTATTTCGGTAAAAATGTGTTTCCATCCCGCGATACTCATACAGCTAGACCACAAAAGAGTCCGTATTTTTGCGTATTGAAGTACGCGCGAGCAGTCAAACAAAAGATCTGGAGCGAGGCTGAAAACGGAGAGCGAGACTGGGGAGCAGGGCGTCTTTATCCGCCCTTCTGGGGAGTGTGTTGCTCGCGCGCTTCGCGCTTCGCTTTACCGATTTCTTTACCGATTTTGAGGAAAAAAACCGACTGTTTTGTAGTCTACGATACCGTCTTCTGTGGAAGCCTTAAAAAAATTATTTAAGGGGGCCGTGTCATGGCTGGCTAGTTTATTTTCTTTTGTCAAATCCCAATTATGCGTCCTCTCCTTTTTCGATATGGAATTTGAGAAATTACTTACGAATGACAAAACGCAGCAACGTGTCATGCTAACTATTGTGCTATTGTGTCTCCTAAGCATATCAAACGTCACAGACGACAAAAGTGAACTTTGACAAGCTGTTATGGCTAAAAACTTTTCAAAAACCACAATTCCTTTTCCATTTGCGGTGTTATTTATACTTTCTTTTAACCTTTTGTATTTGTTTCACTCAATTTAATGTTAGTTCCTACTGTTTGAATTTTTCAAAATTTCGTGACGCAGCCCCTTTAACTTGGAGTGCTCTCTGTTGCAGGATGAAAGTCTCCAGAAGCTGGCTAAAGAGTCGGATAACCTTCGCCAGAAATATGGTCATTTGTTCGACCTCACGATTGTGAACAACGACATCGATGATACCATTCGCCTCCTAGAGAATTCTTTCGAGCAGCTACGAACTACTCCCCAGTGGGTTCCAGTTTCTTGGGTCTACTAGCCTCACCCTACCCCTTGTAAAGGTTCGCGCATGGGATAAGTCACGTGATGTGAACTTAACATGGAGTAGTCCTCGAATACGAACAGACGTAACGTCACTAGTCCCAGTTCCACTCCTAAGCCAGTATCTGGACAGAATCACTTGTATAGTGGCTTCATCTATACGTAATGTCAGTGCTGACAAATGAATGCAGTGCTGTTTTGACATCAGCTTCACTCCTTTGAATACACAGTTCACGCAAAAAATACGACTATTGTACGGGTGCCATTGTAACGTTGAATTCACGGGGAGTTATACCAATGGAACTACGCGTCGTTTCACACGCACTGATCACACATCGCCAAGAAATCACGCCGTGTTTTAAAAAAAGGGGACTAGTGCCAGAGTGGAGTATTGACCACGCCCTCTGACTCATGATCTTCCACTATAGGAGGGCCAGAACTCAATAATAAAAAAAATGTATGTAATTGCTGAACAATTCAAGATAATACTATCTATTGGCGGAGCAGAAAAAGCAGAAGTAGTATAGCATCTGTTGTTTTTGTTTGTTTTTACTTTTTTTGTCATAGAACAATTTTCTATATTGCTGCTCTCCTAAGCGTTTTATATCAGTTTATCTGCTGTCACTGTATTTTAGAATGTTAGAATTACTGCTTCTCTCTTAGAGAAGAGGAGTGAAAGGAAATGTCAAGACAAACCGTACGATTTCGTTTTCCTCTGTAAATCAGTTAGTTTTTTTTGTCTAGTCACGCAACGCTCCTCGTTGCGAGACAAAAACGGCTGCGAGGGACACTATAAATCGTTTAGTCCTTCGGATATTGCAGAATTGAAAAGGGAGTGCTGTTTGTTGCGGGTAAATCATAGCGGATAAAAAATAAACCGTGGTTCCGCTTATACATGGGGTCAGAGATTCTACAAGTTCAGTGCTGACGTTGTGCTATAAGCTACCTTAATGTAATCAAAACATACAGCAGACTGGTTTTGTATCTTAAATGAGTGATTTTAAAGCAAAATGAAGACTAATACTTAGTTCCGTTCAGGTTGGGTTATGCGTTTTTTCTCTTGTTGCCATTATATGGCTATAGCTGCCCCAGAAAACCCTGTTGATTTGACCTTGCTAAAATATGTGTATTCCCATGACATAATATTTATTAATATAATATCATAATTTAATAATATTTTTAACGTGGCTAAGGGTGTAGAGCTTGAATTGCCCTTGTCGCAGAAGATCAGCTAAACTTTGCAGAGCTTCTTATCAATCAAAGCTTTCTTGGTTCTCGACTCTTTGCCTTGGCGTTTTAACCTATTTGCAGTCATGCGCACTGCCGGAAAGCGTGAGATTTGGAGAGCCAATAGACCTTTTTACCGATACGGCGGCCATATTGAATTCATTCGATTTAAATAGGATGCCCAGGGGGCATAAGCACATTTCGTTTGTATTTTCAAGGGCTTTTCGGGACATTTTTTCTTTTTATTATTAGGATCGCAGTTCTTGGAACGAGAATGAGCCAATCAAAGCAAACATTTCCTTCCGTTGTTACAGCTTGGCCGTGGGAGGGGTGGCTTGTACTTCAGGTTTGCTTTGTTCCTTTGAAAACCTGAAGGGTATCAGCGAAGATTGGCCTGGTTTAAACGTCGCATTTCACATGTGCCGAATCGAATTCAAATTAGTGAGGAAGATAAATTTTCCTCATTAGCATTTAGGGGCTATGCCACGAGGATATTGCTGCTTGATTTGGGAGTCATCCAGACTGAGAAACTGCCCACCCACCCCTCCCCTAAGCCAACATTTTGACCTAAATGAGAAGTAAGTGTTAATGTTGCATTATGTGAGGGGTAGGGTAGCACTTTCCAAAAAACGTAAATGCTCCTTCGAGTTGAATTCTGTGCTGAATTCATTACTATGCACCTTTACCCATGCCAAAAATGTTCCTGTAGAGTTTTGAAGACGATATGAAACGAATTTAATCAGGGAGGTGATTTTTGCAGGCGCATGTGAAGTGTTCTATGAGAATGTTTTTATTGGGCAAGAAGAAATTGTCCATCGTCTTTGCTCCGAATCGCTGAACCTCGAGTCAAAAATTTCCCTAATAACGAAGCGTTCGTAATAAGCGGGTGTCCGTTTAGCCAAGCGGCGTTCGACTGTACTTGTAGTGTAGCCTACCGCTGGGTTTTTTTTTTTGTTGGGATTTTTACTTTTAGATTAGACCAGGATAAGTACGAGTTTTCAAACTGATTTCATCCGCCTCAGATGAACGCCTGTCACAGTAATTTTATTTCTTACGTCTCTATGTTCTGACTTGAAATTCCAAAATCGTATTCGTACTCGATCGCGTATTCGTAGTCAAATAACAAAGTAGCTACAATAGATATCTTAAAATCACTTAAATACAGATCATCCTATTACTCGTGATATGTAAATTAGTAGGGTGGGCAGTGAGATGGGGAATTGCTTCGCGCCGTACAATTTTGCAATGGTGAAATTTTATAGAGGAAAATTTGTACTTGTGCAATAAAGTATTTAGAACCTGATCGCTGACTCATTGTTTCATCCGCCTCTATACGAATCCACGTTCTCGAGGTTTTCCTTTTATGAAGTACCGTAAAATTCCGAAAATAAGCCCCGGGGCTTATATTTTTCAAAGGCCCTTTTTGAGGGGCTTATTTTTGGAGGGGCTTATTTTCGGAGGGGCTTATCTACGGAAGGAAATTTGCGTTTCAAAATCGATTTACCATTTTTGCTTTGTTTTACTTTGTATTTGAGGGCAATTTTCCAAGTACAAGCTCCCTGGGAGCTTATATTTGGAGGGGCGATTTAACGGAGGGTTTTTTGCGTTACCGGATTAGGGGGCCTATATTTAGAGGGGCTTAAACATGGAGGGGCTTATTTTCGGAATTTTACGGTATGTCTAAACATATATTATGTACCTGATTTTGTGAAGTAAACGCTTTGGTTAATGAAATAAAACTAAAGGGCTGTGTGGAATAAAGCTTCCAGTAAAAAATTACTCAAAATAAGCTATACCTGCAAATAGAAGCTCTGGTCTTTGGACAACTCTCTTCTGTAGTAATTCCTCAACAAAATAAATGACGATTCACGTAACTAGTACACACAAGTAGAGTCTTAAAACTCTCTTTCCATGCAGCCCCCTTCCGAGTTAAAATGGAAAGCCTTGGAGCGAGGTTGAACAAACAGTAAAGACGTTGCACTAAAGTGAGGGCCCTCAATATTAAGGTTTCTTTAATCCCTCATCCCGACCCAAATCTTTGCTCGATCCCGTAACCTCGATGGTTATTTTCAGCATCCTACATCCCGAGCAAACTTTCGATCCCACGCGAATATCGCCCACATTTTACTTTAAAATCCCGAATCCCGAACTTCAAATAAGACAAATCCCGGATCCCGAAATCCCCTTTGTAGTGTGATTGATGGTCAGTCATCCTTAGGCCATTTCCGAGTGGCTCCCAGCCTCTGTTTCAAAGCAAGGCTAAATGCGAAGCCAATAACATGAAAATGATTTTTTATTCTCCTGCAAATAAAACTCATTTTCACAAGTAATTAAGGTTTTGCACTCAGCCTCGTTTTGAAGGTAAGAGTCTTTGGAACTCGGAAGAGGTAGTACTTGCAACAGTGTTTGCATTTTTTGAACAGTAACCACCATTATGTACTCTATTGTATTAAAGTAAAGGCCATCTGCCATTATCAAAGGAAACATGTTTAAAACAGAGAAAAAGTGGGAAAGCGTATTCAAGGAAGTAAATATCAAACTCGATAAAACCCAGAGCACTTATGCACTTGATTCTAATAGACTCATCTGGGCTCAAGTGTCCGAGTGAGTCCGAGCGAAACAGCTTCGCACGTACGGTCGCTTGCGTTTAAACCTGTCAGCAAATCGTGTATAATTGAAATAGCTTGCACAACGTGGTCCGGGAAGAAACGCTCGCGATCGATGAAATAACGTTCCAAGGCACAAACTAGACAGTGTAAAAGAAAAGACTAACAATGCTACAGGATGGGGCTGCTCTTAGGATAAAAACTGTTCCTGGGGGTACTCCCCTATAAAAAAAAAATCTAAAATGACTGCTGCCAGAGTTGTCTCGATACCTTTTAGGGGCCTGCGGGTTGCCTGCAGTAAGGTTATCGCCCAGGGTTATCGATCTGCAAAATGTATTTGTGCCAGTTATATTTATAATCTTTTGTTGCTGAAGTGGTAAATACCTCTTAGGGGTGGAAATGAATTTGCGACACGCCCATAAAACAAGATTCTGGTACCATTTAGGGGTGTTCTCGAAATTTTCCGACGAGCACCCCCGTCACTTTTACCTTGCCCAGGGAAACGGAAACACAACTGATATAAAACCTACACAACTTTCAACAAAGTTCAAGGCAATCTGGAGTCAATTTGTCGTTGTCCCGGTTCATTTATTTACAGATGGTTCATTTTTACTTCTGAATTACTCGGCACTCTGCCTTATGGGTTTTAAAAGCAGGAACAGCTTCCCAGCGACAAACCTCACGTTTGGTAACTGGGGCAGCTCGTGCTTGTTTGGATGTCTCAGCGAAACCCGTATCATTAGTTCTGAAACACAAAACGTTCACTTAAGACAACCGTCAAACTCAAATTCTAGGGAGCTTAAGCAACAAAGACAACAACGGTTTTATGAACAAAACAACAGCGCTGCACGTGCATCACACTTTCTGCACATTTCTTTGACGTACACTACACGACTGAGATGTAAGGTGAAACGTCCTAATGCGACGTTATGATGGCGGACGTTGAACTTCGACTTTCGACTTTCTTTATGACCTTCGATAGGTAAAGAGACGCAATAAGGTTTGAGAGAAGTAACGATAATATAATTTTTTAGTCACTTTTTCACACCACTGCTTAAGCTCCCAGTGACGACCTTAAGGAAGTAATTTCTAATGAGGAGTAACGGCACGTACGCTTATATATCATAATATAGAAGGAGTAGAAACAAATTTTAGCTTAGTAGCGGGAAATGCCAAATAAACTATAAGGTTTTATAGAAAACATTGTTTGAGCAGGCATCACAATGGGATGGGACCGTGGAGGTAACTATTATCTCCTGTTGATATCAACAAGTTTAGTTTATAAAACAGGTTCAAACCATTATGTAGGTTTACCCACTTATCTTTTCATAGCGGTCATTTCATTTTAGTTTCAAAGAAATCGGCACGGACTTGCTTTTTACGCATTTTATCAATAACACCTACCCTCCCCACCCGTCCGCCATCTCTGGACATGCAAAAAGAACTTTCTTAAGGGCACGAGTTTAGCCTACGTGCGTTCACTTGGTTCCCTTTTTTATGACACGCTGAAACATATAAACAGGAAGAAAATCCTAGCTAACGCTCATTGTGTTAGATAGGTGAGCCACCACAGCGTGGGTATAAAAGAAGGAGTCATGACAGATCGAGCTTTCAAACATCTCAGTTGGCCATCAAGACGCACGGGACAATAACTTCAAAGTGACAAAAAGAAACTTGAATAGAAGAATATCATTCTCTCTGGTCTTCTTTAAACATGGTAAGAACGGACAATACTAACTTAGTGTTTGAGGTCCGAGTCTTTATCTTATTGTTCCAATGTTTCTTTTTTCTTTGTCATTGCTATTTTCGCCTTGTCTAAGTCCGGCCACTACCACGATAAGACCTAAGCTGTCTTTTAATTAATCAATGTAGATTAGTCTCACTCTTATATTATTGATTGTTGTTAGGCTTTTCGTCTTGGAGGTCTGAATAGGATTATTCTTCTGTTCGTGGCGTTGGCCATACTGAACGTATCAGTTGTTGAAGGTAATTTTTCTGTATAAAGCCTCTATTCGCCACTCCCGCCAGAAACAAAAAGGGGAATGGGTAGGTCGATGTTATTCAAGGCAACCATTAACAATTCATGGTAATGCTTGTCCACCCAAGCGATCCCAGAAATCTTTGCGTCAAAAGCTCCTAATCATTCCCATATAGTTTGTGAAGTGGGGAATTGTCATTACCTGTAAACTTCACCAAATATCCAAAATTATAGCTGATCACCGCCGTTAACACAATCTATTTTTGAGTTTTGCTTTTATTTGTGGTGTACTTTGGACACCGTAAAAATGATCCAGTGAGAGCACAGACCCTTGATTACCAAAAAAGTTGCAAATATCATTTTTAGCGATTTTCATGCTAATTGGCCGAAAACCGGCTCAAAAACGGTGGGTTTGGTTAAAAATGCAGCTGGCGGTCGCCAAAAGGATAAACTGCCATAACTAACATTTAAGAGCAGGAGAGATAATGACGGGAAATTGCCAACACCCTGACATCTTTATTTTGTTTCAGGGAACTGCTATAAAACATGGAGCAGATGCTCCGGATGGAGCAGCTGGGGTACTGGCTGGTTGTGGAAAAGTTGTTTTGACAGGTAACTGATTCGATACACGCTTTTTTGCTATCAGTAGAGAGGTTAAGCATCACGTTTACGTCAAACAATTCATTGCCGTTCCAATACGACCTCGACGTGAAAAAATTGCTGTATTCGACGTTTTATGGAGGACGTAAACAAACGACGACTGAAACATATACATCGCATCTCTTTCGATGCGATAAAAAATCCGAATTCATTATAACAGGGAGGTTTACGCTGCCGCTGGCGTCGTGGATGCTAAAGCTCCCTAAAAATGTATCAACTACCCCCCACCCCATTAACCTCTCACTTCACACCCACACCCACACACACACATCCCTGTCTCCACCATTCACCTCTCACTTCACATCCACACCCACACGCCCCTGTCCCCCCATTCACCCCTCACTTCACATCCACACCCACACGCCCCTGTCTCCCCATTCACCTCTCATTTCACATCCACACCCACACGCCCCTGTCCCCCCATTCACCCCTCACTTCACATCCACACCCACACGCCCCTGTCTCCCCATTCACCCCTCACTTCACATCCACACCCACACGCCCCTGTCCCCCCATTCACCTCTCACTTCACATCCACACCCACACGCCCCTGTCCCCCCATTCACCCCTCACTTCACATCCACACCCACACGCCCCTGTCCCCCCATTCACCCCCCACTTCACATCCACACCCACACGCCCCTGTCCCCCCATTCACCTCTCACTTCACATCAACACCCACACTCCCCTTTCCCCCCATTCACCCCTCACTTCACATCCACACCCACACGCCCCTGTCCCCCATTCACCCCTCACTTCAAATCCACACCCACACGCCCCTGTCCCCCATTAACCCCTCACTTCACATCAACACCCACACGCCCCTGTCCCCCATTCACCCCTCACTTCACATCCACACCCACACGCCCCTGTCCCCCATTCACCTCTCATTTCACATCCACACCCACACGCCCCTGTCCCCCATTCACCCCTCACTTCACATCCACACCCACACGCCCCTGTCTCCCCATTCACCTCTCACTTCACATCCACACCCACACGCCCCTGTCCCCCCATTCACCCCTCACTTCACACCCACACCCACACGCCCCTGTCCCCCCATTCACCTCTCATTTCACATCGACACCCACACGTCCCTGTCCCCCCATTCACCCCTCACTTCACATCCACACCCACACGCCCCTGTCTCCCCATTCACCCCTCACTTCACATCCACACCCACACGCCCCTGTCCCCCCATTCACCCCTCACTTCACACCCACACCCACACGCCCCTGTCCCCCCATTCACCCCTCACTTCACATCCACACCCACACGCCCCTGTCCCCCCATTCACCTCTCACTTCACATCCACACCCACACGCCCCTGTCCCCCCATTCACCCCTCACTTCACATCCACACCCACACGCCCCTGTCCCCCCATTCACCCCTCACTTCACATCCACACCCACACGCCCCTGTCCCCCCATTCACCCCTCACTTCACATCCACACCCACACGCCCCTGTCCCCCCATTCACCCCTCACTTCACATCCACACCCACACGCCCCTGTCTCCCCATTCACCTCTCACTTCACATCCACACCCACACGCCCCTGTCCCCCCATTCACCTCTCACTTCACATCCACACCCACACGCCCCTGTCTCCCCATTCACCCCTCACTTCACATCCACACCCACACGCCCCTGTCCCCCGATTCACCTCTCACTTCACATCCACACCCACACGCCCCTGTCCCCCATTCACCCCTTACTTCACATCCACACCCACACGCCCCTGTCCCCCATTCACCCCTCACTTCACATCCACACCCACACGCCCCTGTCCCCCATTCACCTCTCACTTCACATCCACACCCACACGCCCCTGTCCCCCATTCACCCCTCAATTCACATCCACACCCACACGCCCCTGTCCCCCATTCACCCCTCACTTCACATCCACACCCACACGCCCCTGTCCCCCATTAACCCGTCACTTCACATCCACACCCACACGCCCCTGTCCCCCATTCACCCCTCACTTCACATCCACACCCACACGCCCCTGTCCCCCATTCACCCCTCACTTCACATCCACACCCACACGCCCCTGTCCCCCATTCACCCCTCACTTCACATCCACACCCACACGCCCCTGTCCCCCCCATTCACCCCTCACTTCACATCCACACCCACACGCCCCTGTCCCCCATTCACCCCTTCCTTCACATCCACACCCACACGCCCCTGTCCCCCATTCACCCCTCACTTCACATCCACACCCACACGCCCCTGTCCCCCATTCACCTCTCACTTCACATCCACACCCACACGCCCCTGTCCCCCCATTCACCCCTCACTTCACATCCACACCCACACGCCCCTGTCTCCCCATTCACCTCTCACTTCACATCCACACCCACACGCCCCTGTCCCCCCATTCACCCCCCACTTCACATCCACACCCACACTCCCCTGTCCCCCATTCACCCCTCACTTCACATCCACACCCACACGCCCCTTTCCCCCATTCACCCCTCACTTCACACCCACATCCACACGCCCCTGTCCCCCCATTCACCCCTCACTTCACATCCACACCCACACGCCCCTGTCCCCCCATTCACCTCTCACTTCACATCCACACCCACACGCCCCTGTCCCCCATTCACCCCTCACTTCACATCCACACCCACACGCCCCTGTCCCCCCGTTCACCCCTCACTTCACATCCACACCCACACGCCCCTTTCCCCCCATTCACCCCTCACTTCACACCCACATCCACACGCCCCTGTCCCCCCATTCACCCCTCACTTCACATCCACACCCACACTCCCCTGTCCCCCCATTCACCTCTCATTTCACATCCACACTCACACGCCCCTGTCCCCCCATTCACCTCTCACTTCACATCCACACCCACACTCCCCTGTCCCCCCATTCACCTCTCACTTCACATCCACACCCACACGCTCCTGTCCCCCCATTCACCTCTCACTTCACACCCACATCCACACGCTCCTGTCCCCCCTAACCCTCACCTCATTTATTTTATAGGTGTCTAAGCCTTCGGTATAAAGGTGGAAGCTGCCAGTTATGTCCCAGTTCCTGTTGGATGTCCAGCAGGGCGTGGAAGTGTATATGTTATGGCACTGGTTCCTGCTAAGGACAAAGGAGTAAATGAATGCAGTACTGGTCTTTCAAACATGATCTTTAGCTACAAAGCCATCCGATAATCAGCTTTACGACAGTTAATCAAATCAATTGTAATTTTGGGATACTGGTAATCTTAATTTGAAAAAGAATCATTTAAGTTTATTTTTTTCCGTATAATTCCTAAAGGAAACTGATTTTGTTCACAGTAGATCATAGCCATTCCTTAAATAAAGAGAGGCGGGTGATCGAGGTATTTTCACTGGTCAGCCGCCCATTAGTTTACCCCCGATTTAATAAACTACCCGTCAGGCTCTTTTCTCTTATTGCTTGCGGCGATTCTAACTTTTCTGCTGATGAAATCCTAACAAGTTACTTCTCAAACAAAAGCTACTGACCAATATACGTTCCTGCTCGATGCTGTAGATACTGTGACCTTTTAAAAGATGTAACTTCTAAGAAAACTTTAAACGCCACTCTACCCTTAACATAGGCAGTTCCTCGGAACTCGAATTCCTTCAAATTGCAATTTCAACGTGACACTGGTAAACTTTTCTTTAATATGATAAATGGTCTATATTCCTTTTCAAGAAGCCAAAGCTCTTCTCATTCACCTTTGAAGACAGACAGACCAATCTAGAAAGTTAAACCTTTTCATCGGGTTTTGAAACAGCTCATAAATAAGATATCCATTTTGGCTTTGTGGTCTGGGCCTAGTTGCATAAAACGCCTGTAACAATTACGGGTATATGAACGTTTACTTGTAGCTTTAGTGAGTTGTATTAAATATCTTGAGTGGTCTACTTAGGGAATTCACTTACCATTTTCGTTAGTGTTCACTAAGTGTCGCTTATGCAACAGAAATTGCGCGTGTTGCATGAAACTTTTTTTACGGGAAAAATTGCACTCAAGCAAAATTTACGAGTCCCAAGTAAGTCCCGTATTCTTACTGCTTTTACCAAAGTTAAAGAGATCTTTTACTGAGAAGTAAAAAAGGTATTTTTCTTTAAGTAACTCTGTTCTAATGGGCTTTAATTTAACCTCTGATGTACACTTTAAATCCGTCGTTATCAAAAAGAAGAAGAACAAACATTTCCAGTAGATATTAATTGAAGTAAAATAACGATTGCATGAAAACTTTATTTCATTGAGAGGCTTAAAAGTGCTCGAAACGACTGGACACTTTCTTTTCACTCAAAGATGGTTAAAAGTTAAAAAGATAGAGTGAATAATTAAATAAAGAACCAGACCAAAGTTACGTGTG